TGTGTTTACCCGCTTGCCTGTGTATTTGGAATGCTTCCCAGTCGTCCCAAGGAATCTTTTCGTCTCCATGGCCTATCCGGGGTTGTGGGTTCGGCCTTGCATGCGTAAGCCGACGAGAACTGAGCCGCAGTCTACACACGCGCCTTGCCGGATAGGCGGCGTATACACTACTGACTGACAGGAGGTATATGTAGACATGGGAGTCATACGCGGCACATGACCTTAAAATTAAAGCGAAGTAGACCTTATACGGCGGGCGCGTGATCAAGCTAGGTAGGCAATACAGTAAGGGAGGACTGAGCACAGCAATGCCTAATGCCCGGTCTGACCAGGTTCCGAGGAGGCTCGTGGTCCAGGCATCATGGACGGTGTAGTCTCCCTCTAACGGTGCGTATGTCCAGTGTAGGTGAAAAGCAAACCGTGCGTTTACGTATGTCTGGGATTCGGGGGCGAAATCCCGTAGTCACTCTCCTGCGTTAGCTCGAGAAGCACGGGCTGGCGGTTCCCCGCATTGATCAGCTAGCAATGCCGTGACAGGCGTGTCGCGGAAACGTTCGCATCCAAATATTCTTGACAGCTTTGGATCCTCGCCTCGCTCGCGTTGAGAAGAGAGATCTGGCTTCGCACAGCCACAGGTGGTGGGAGTCCTCTTTTGCAGATCCCCTCCAGATCGCGGCTAGATCGGCAAGGATCGACTTGTGCTTGTGGCTGCCAGAGCGGAGACTGGATGTTGTTGATTGGGCACGATTGTGCCAGAATCTTGTCTCGGCACGCAACCGAGGGACAACAGCCAGCGAACGAACAAACAGCTGTGGAGGTGTGGCTAGTGTCGGGCAGCCAGAGCGAGCGAAGGGGTTTCGACAGGAGATCTCAGAAGGCTGTGCAGAACCTGACCCTGAACTTGAATCTGGATCCAGCTGGGGATTGACAGCCGCCACATCGTTTTCCTTGGTGTCGGCAGTGTGCACCGGCATCCATTGGTGTGCCTTGCATGCGAGGGTTGGGATTGCAAGGAAGGAAAACTTGGTAGGGACACACATAGTCGCAGAGTAGCTCGAGAGTAGGTATGGCTTGATGGCAGAAACCCCGGCGAGAACGAGGAGATGCACGCGCCACGAGTGTGGCTGTGTCCGTGAACCTGCATTTGAGTTTCCCATCTCCGGTACGCTACTGCAACAAACCCTTTCCCACCTGGATCCCGAACCCAAGCCAGTGACTCCGACTCTCCGAGAAGATGGGATTTACAAAAATAAAATCGATGTTGACTGATTTATCGATTATCTGTCTGTCCGTCCAGCAGGGAAAAACTAAGACACGACGCCAGGCTCCCTCTAAGGTACTTACACCGGTACATCCATTACCTTCTAGAGATTGCTAAGGTAAGCTGGCTTCTCTTAGCATCCATCCATTAGGGGTACTTCCACAATACCTCGCACCCATCATACGCTGCCCAGGTAGTTTAATCCGCGTAAAATGATTCACACATCCCACAAAAACTTGGGTAGGCGGGAATAGCATGGCCTGCAAAATAAGGTTGGCTTATGAATTTGATAGACTAACCACGAAACCTGGCGACCTTGGGGTGATTATGCAGCTACCATTTCGTCTAGCCAAATACCAAGGGTAAAGGCGCGGCAGGATGAATAGATAGTCCTGGATTACTGGTTGCCAATTTCCTTCCCTTTTCTTCTACACAGTCCATCCGTCACTGATTTGATCACTTCAGTAATCAAGCAAGTAAGATAGATCGAGGGAATATAGAAAGTAAGTGAGGATAATCGGCATGAGGAGTGCGAGACAAGGGTCCCAACCGGGCGTAGCGGACGACGTCACTTGCAGATCCACCCCTCTCGATTCCCGAGCGCTCGTTGGGTTGCTTGCATCATCTGTTATCAACTCCCCCCAAAAGAGAGAGCCATTGTCCAACAGGAATGAGGCCGAAATAGCAAGAGACCAATGCACCAGCCAGAGCAGACGGACCAAGGCCAGGTACAACAGATCGACGTCAAAGAGCACCAGCCGGCCTATGCAATCTCGATGAGATCGACTACAATAGAGTAGTTGATCAAATAAAATGGAATGATATGTTATGGATGATGGGATGTATGGACGAAACGATGCAAGCGTAATACAGATGCATATACATATACATACACATACGCACACAAGGATTGCACAACTTACGCACACGAGAACAGACCAGAGACCGAGTTGGTGTCAGCAGCGTGAAAGGAACTACATATGGTAAGCATCTGGTTGTGGTGGGTGCAGTGTATTCCAGGATCGCGAGAGAGTGATGGGGTTGGGAAGAGACCAGAGAGAAGGGGTGGAAGGGAGATGACACCGCAAGAAAGAAAAAAAAAATTCCAAACCCAAAAACGTAACGTTAATGCAGTGCTCAGCCAGCCAGGCCAGACAGCCCGTATCCGACCGAGCCTGTGGCTTGTCAAGCGCTCTAGGCCCGACCGGCTGGCCCAGGCCAGCCCAGAGGGAGCTTTATTAGGGCAGAACACGGGCAGTTTCCAGGTACCTTGGCAGGATACGCAACACGAAAAGGTGCATGACTGCGTATTGAATTAGGTGCAAGACACCGGCGCTGCGTGCGCTGTGCGAATGCTAGACACGCCTACATTGGCTCTACTGTATTTCCTAACTCCGAAACTCGTACCTTCAAGGTTGTCCTCGGCAGTCATCGGTAAATATGTCAAGTCCATCCGGCAACAATTGGACAGAGATGGATCCTCTGTAGCGCAAGCACATGCCTACCTAGATACTTACTGTAGGCTCCTTGGAGAATCTACATACCTAGCTCACCTAGGTATACCAAGGTGCCTACCTGAACAGGACAGTTAGATCGGTGTGACAAGACGGAAAGGGGAGGGCGAAAGAAACCCAAAAAAAAAAAAAGGAAAGACAGAGTGCAAGGGAAAGAGCGACCCTGGTGGTTGCTTCGGGCTGCCTCGGAGGTTGTACTGTAGAATAGGTAGGTAGGCACAGTACCTGTGGTAGGGTCGGTAGGTGTCTTAGTATTGAGAGTCAGTCTGATGACAGAGGGCACATGACTCGAATGGACCACCATCCCCCCAAAGCTAAGCGTGGCTTTCCTAACGGAATGACGGTGATGAAAGTGAGGTAGTGTAGTGGTCACCCCGCATGCATGCGTTTGCAGTTTGCGTTTGCATTGACTGCAATGCCCGCTCTGTTCCACGCTGCCCTAGCACAACTAGGCCTAGGCCCTCGGCTGAGAAAAGAGAAAAGAGAAAATTTACGGGCTTTGTCACCACTATTGTCCCTCCCAGCTCGGCCGGCTTAACACCTACCAAGGTACCTACCACACTCTTCCCAACAATTCCACAAGGGCTCGGCCGGCTCTCCTCGGCCATACTCTCCTCTCCTGCCGCTTGTGACTGAGTGGATGGATGAGTGAGTAATGGCAGGTCATGGTGCCTCATGGAATCCCTTATGCTTGCATCAGGGAAGGCATTGTTCTATCTAAGGTAGGTACATCTGCGGTCCATACCTGGTAGGGCGCTATAACGGCAAGGCGGGCAGGTATCCATCTGGTACCTTCTATGAGGATGTAAGTTTTGGTCAGGCTTGGTAAGAGAGAGTGCGAATTTGATTTTTTGGGCATGGGCAACCTCATGCAGCACAAGGTATGTACCAAGGTATGTACCTGCTGTAAGCACCGCCCATGATGCGACGCACCACGGGTTTTCTAGTCGCTTCAGGTAATGCTAACCTCAGTCACTGAGAGACTGACTGAGTGACTGAGCGACTGAGTGAACACAGGTGGACAAGGGACAGGGTGTCGCGCCTTCCGTCATCCAGATACCCCCCGTATCCCAGAACGGCAAGGGCGCATACAGCCATGCCGCCAAAATAGCAGGAGGTACGTACCTGCACTACACCAGAGTCCGTCCAGTACGTACTATGTACCCACCCTCTCGAGGGAACCCAGCAGCCCTGCCCGGGTGGACTGGAGCAGGCCCAGCAGGTCCAGCAGGTCCCGACAGCAAAGCCCGTGGTACCGCCCCACTGCCCCAAGGTGGTTAGTGACCTACCTTACCTTACCTTACCTTAGATAGGGCCTGGCCATACCTTAATCCCCAGCGACCCCGGCACCCCTGTCATCTTGGGTCCATCAGTTACGACATCCGACATCAGCGAAAAGGCACCCCACCATCAGCCACTTTTTGGTATATATTCGTCTGCCGTCTGTCCACAGTGCTTCCCGAACTCCCCAGATTTGCCACCCTTCTACTCGACCCTTCCATCAAATCTTAGCTCATCCTGAACAACAAAAGAAGATCCAATCTGCGATAATGTTGTTGGCCCAGAACTACCAACAGCATCAACATCTTCCTCTTCATCAACAACAAATCCAACAGCACCAGCAACAACCAAACACTTCTCCTTTCCAACACTTACAACAAACATCTTCGTCGTCGTCGTCGTCGCCGTCGCCGTCTAATCCTCGCCAACATCAAACACACTCACAGCAGCAGCTTCTCCGTCGACTCCCTCACAACCTCTCGACGTCCTCGACAGCGGCAGCAAACTTCTATCCCCAGAGTCTCGAAGGCGATAGCTTGCTCGACATAGAACTCGAAGGCGACCACAGCAGATCCTCGTCGCCGAACTCGAGCCAGTCTCTGCTCCCGCAGTACTCTCTATCTTCGTTTGACAGCACCCCAAGCATCGCCGTTCCCAGGCAGACACCGCAACACGCCAGCGCGCTGTTCAACCTGCCTCAGTCTTCTTCGCAGACCACTTCTGCATTCGACGACTCGTCGCTCCTGAGCGCCGCCGACCTGATGCAGTCCGAGGCGTGGCTTCACAATGGCCAGCTGACGCCAAAGTCAGTCAGCAGGGTGTCCCATCAGCGAGAGTCTTCCCTCTCCTCGCTCGGCTCTGCCGGACCGGCGTCGCCGTACTCACACAACACGTCAAACCCGCACATCGCCGTGACTGATTCGATGAGCGACAACTACCACGGCATGCCGACACATGATGACTCTTACTATCAGTTGTCTAAGACGCTCAACCCAAGCGGCCATGATAACTTCTACTCCCACTACCCCAACTACAGTGCAGATTCCGCCTCCGCTGCGGCTTACGGCAACTTGATGGCATCTCACAGGCAAAAGGCCGACCGAGGTCTATTACCGCCAGCAGACTATCCCATTGGGCCTAACCGATCCCGACCCGTGTCGGTGGCGAGCTCGATTGCCAGTGACTCACCTGCCACGCCATCCATGGGGGAGCCTGAAGATGACAGGAGGCGAAAGACTGGTGAGGACCCCGAGATAATAGACTGTCCTGCGGACACTTACTCACTATTTTTCGATGATGCAGCTTTCAGTGCCGTTCCCAAACTGGACCGCACAATGACGGACATCTACAGTGACGAACTGTTCAATCCGAACTTCACAATCACCTCTGCCTCTCCATCCCAGCAGGCACATATTTCCGTCTCGCCAAGTAACGAGGTGTTCGCTCAGAGACTTCATGCTGCAAACAATCAGCATTTGAGCGCGCACTCCCCCGTGTCATCCACTCCCCGAGATAGATCCCCGTTTCGTCAGGGCTCACCATTAGCGCCAGCCCCAAGCCACGACTTTGGGGGTGCCGGACGTATGGGATTCGCGTCAGCCCAGCAGATGCGCGAGCAGAGGAAGGCAGAACATGACGCTGAGGTTCTACGGCAACAGATCGGCCATGCCACCGATGCCGGAACACCTCAGACCATATCTCCGAAGGACGCCATTCTCGAGTTTCACGAGCAGGACGGTGAGAACAACTTCCCACTATTCCCGGCGCAGGATTCGACTGGATTCGACAGCGACCACCTCGCCAAGGCAGCAGCAGCCACTGCGGTACAGGCAAACTCCCAGTTCAACGACATGTCTCTTGGAGGTGCACCTTTCAACAATTATCTGCAGTCCCAGTTGCCTACAGGTCTCCAAATCCCTCAGCATTATCCATTTGTCGCCCAGCCGAGACAGCAGAGCAGCAGTGCCTCGATGGGCAGCACCTCCATGGGTGTCCCATCGCGTGTGAGCTCGGCGGACTCCGCAACACCGGACTCAATGCTTTCTGCCAGTCCGCAACGGCCGGCTGGGACGAGTGCTGATGGTGGCACCTACACTTGCACATACCATGGTTGTACTCTCCGCTTCGAGACACCGGCACTACTTCAGAAGCACAAGCGTGAGGGACATCGTCAAACGCATGGTCTCAATCCAGTACGGAGGGTTGATACTGGCATGACATCTAGCCTACTCAACAGCCAGGCGGGACCGCACCGCTGTGATCGTATCAACCCTAGTACCGGCAAGCCTTGCAACACGGTATTTTCACGACCGTACGATCTTACTCGTCACGAGGATACGATTCACAATGCACGCAAGCAAAAGGTTCGATGCGATCTATGCACTGAAGAGAAGACATTCAGCCGTGCCGATGCTCTCACGCGGCATTACCGCGTTTGCCACCCAGACGTTGAGTTCCCTGGCAAGCACCGGAGACGGGGGCCTTCTAGCGGGTAAAACTCACGCAACAGAAACTGGCTTGATGTCCGGTCATGGTGATCGGAGCGGTCGCCTCGGAATCAAGACTAGGAGACGAGAGGCCCACCTAAGCGTGCTAAGCAAATTGTGCTATACGAGCGCGGCATCATGATATCTTGGAGGCACGGGCAGCGAATTGGATCCTGACAGGATTTCGGGGCAGATTGCCTTGCAAGGCGTGGATTGGAACCGGTAGCGGTGCCCATGTCATGGTGGGGCATCTATGCAGCCAGATTCAGATTCAGGGTCCTCGTCATGGCGTCAGAGAAAATCGACAAGAAAAACTCAGGGTCCGACAGCCCGTCCCCGCTTTTCCTTCCCTCCTTGCATGCAGGGTCCTTGGGCGACCTCACTGTGCGTCTGAGCTTTTCCTCTTTTGGGAGAGTCGCCTCCATTTCAGCCTTTTTGATTGGAGGATGTGAGGAGAGACCCACTCAAAAAGCACACCCCCCCTACCACTCCGGGGTGAACTTCTCCACTCGGCTGCTGGCATGTTTGGGCTTCAATGATGGGCCATCGTCGAAGGTTCCCGATCTGCCAAGCCAAGCCAAGTGACGTCACTCGACCCAGCCATGACGGCGTGCTCTGATTTCATCCTGACAAAGCAGCAGTTACACCGACGACATCGCAACCACCCCCTTGTGTCATATTCCCAATCCATGGCGCGCATCGATGCGTCGGCGTGCATCGGATTGTATTCGAGTGCTCCCGCTGTTGATGTTGAGGAATTCGACTTCGGACCATCCTAGCCGGCACTTGCTTCATTCCTCTATGCCCCTACGATTCCTGCGCATGGCTTTGCAGGTTTTCTCTCCTCCCTTTCGGGAACCTCCTCCGACCTCCATTGTTTCTGATGGGTGTGCGCTGCGCGGGCCCCGCGGATTGGGTGATGACACCAGCTTTCTTGCTCTCTCATTTCCTCATTTCTTCTGTAAAGGCACCCTGACCAAGATGGCAGTCTAGTATTAGCCGAATTGCCCTAGTCTTCTGTGTCTCCTGTATACCCCTTTTCATTGTATTTCTAATAATGGTTCGGTTTGGGCATCTTCAATAGACAGTCAAAACTCTGCAGTCAGGTAGCACTGCGTGGGTTTCAATTGCGGGCGAGCGTTTGCTATTCATATCTATCTCGATATTTCGGCTTTTCGGGAATCTTTACTTCTCCTGGTCATCGCAAGCCTTTGTTTTCTGTGTACACTATGTCTGCAGACGTTCTTCTGATGTTGTCTGGCGAGGCTGTGTCTATACATACTATCGAGCAATACCTGTATCACGACCATTTCACTATTTCGGACTACTGGGCTAGACAAAAACACACAAAATATCGGGCAAAACAGTAATTAGAGCGAGCAAGCGATGCGCATCAGGAGGATTGCGACAGATCTATGATGATTATGATATGGCGGATAGACGGGATGACCTAATGACGAGCAGTGGTCTGCATATATAGTGTACGAGCGATGAAAATTAAATATCTGACTACCTACAACAATAAGTGCTAGCATATTTGTGAAATTGACCCCGCTGCCAAACTAACTCAATGACGGATGAACTTGCCTTTTAAGTCGTACGTATCTTCTACGAATGCTACTACTCTGGCGTGCTGCGCCCAAATTGCCGTTGCGGTATGAAAGAATGCCACAGATGCCGCGATGGGTTCCGGTTTCGTCTAGTATTGATGCCCACCTCCGCACTTGAAGTGCGGACTGTCCCACTAGCCAAGAAGAAATAATGCTCAGCTTCACGACAGACTGGATACCATTGCCCACAAGAGACACGGCAGTTCGACCCAAGCTAAGAGAGATAGGGAGAGGGTGCATTTCACATGCACGTTGGTTATTCTACAAACTCCCCAGTTGGGAGCAATCTGTTTTCACAAGACAAGGCACGAGGCCGGATATTATGCTCATGTCGACGGCAAATTGCCAGCCGCTGATGGCTGCGAGGTTGTAGATATACATAACTCCAAGGACAAACAATGCATGAGCATATCAGATGCGCACACGGTCTTGGAGGGACGAATGCTATATGGAACTTCTGGGTTTCATCCTTACCCCCTTTTCGGTGACCTTTTCACACTTCATTCCCTTCTAGATTCCACCGAACCCTTACGGCCCTGAGGCGGGAATTGATTCACCCATGACTGCGGCTCGTGCATCAGCGTAGACCGGCGTGATGCCCGTCCACAACTGGTACTGTTTGACAAATTGGTCAGGCTTCCGTACAGATAAATGTGGCTGCTGCATGAGTGAGGAGAACGTACCTGATACCACCCTTGAGCAGAGAGAATCTCCAATCCCGGAATGGTTGTCCATCCAGCGTCTTCAGCCAGCTGCATGAGAGGGGTGTGACGTGGCATATAGGCCATCTCGAGCAAGGCTCGAGTGGATTCAGACACTGATGGATGGTGAAGAACTGACACGAGAACCTCACGCATTGTCGGGTCGATTGGCTTGTCGGCTGGGATCGTACTGATGACAACCGTTGGGGGCAGACTTGAGATGGCGGACACCTCCTCAACACTGCTCAGGTGTTGGATATCGTAGTCTGAGGGGAAGGAGTCTGCTAGTGCCTTGACATTGGTAGCGGACCTGGCAACTATGTAGATGGGTGCATAGCCGAGAGAATGCAAGGTATAAATCGCAGCTCGACTGGTGCCGCCAGATCCAATCACAAGGCCAGCCCCCGGAGAAGCTCGTGTGCGCTGTACTAGCCCTGCGGAGCGTAGGGAGAAAACCATGCCCATCCAGTCGGTATTATCACCGAGAAGGCGGGCCTTCTCGCCGTTCCCACTAGCCACGGGGATAATGGTATTTACAGCGCCAATGTGCTTAGCCGCATCCGAGACATCATCGAGTAAGTCCATGATATCAAGCTTGAGTGGGATAGTCACTGAAGCACCGCCAAAGTGCGGCGATCGGATGATGTCCAGAACGTCTGGTGCATGATCCGTCTCGAAAAGAGAGTATGTGTGCGGCAGTCCCGTCTGCTCGAAAAGTGAATTATGCAGGGCAGGCGACCGTGATTTGGCAATTGGCTTTCCGAAGAGATAGAAAGATCGCGGTTCGAGCTCCCCAATAAGGGACAATGCCTGCCGAATCTCCGCTGCTGAAAGCTGACCTGGAGCAGCCTTGAATGGCAGGTCAGGATGCGACACTGGCGTTAGGAAGCCGTTCAGCACTCGGCTCAATTTACCAACTGGGCCCATATTAATAGCAATCATGGGCGTTTTGTGCGATGCAAGCATCCGAGCCTTGAAGTTTGCGAGAGCGAAATTATCCTCGAGGTCGCGAGCAACGCCGACAAGCTTGATGACGTCTCCATACTGCAGAGCCTTATTGTAGAAGACCATCCAGGAACCATTCTGCCAAGACAATGTACCCTGGGGGTCGTGGTGGGAGGCAATGATCTTGCTGAAACCCTTGGCTTCGGCCACAGTCTGGATAACGGAGTCCGGCATGGTCATCTCAAGATCAATATACTCAACTCCCATTCTGAGCGCAAGACGATACAAGGCAGCTGCAGCATCGTAATCCGTATCTGGGAAACGGCCGCCCTGACTAACGGTTCGAAGTGTGTAAACAATGGGAATGTTGGTCACAGATCGAAGCAGCGAAACTTGTACGGCGACGAATTCGGGGGAGTAGTCCTCGAGCAAGTCGACACGAAGTTCAACAGCATCTGAACCGACAACAACGCGGGGAAGTAATTTGATGGCAGATGCCACATTGGGTAGGGTTAGCGACACGAAGAATGAATGTCTCTTGGACTTTACTTCCTCAAAGTGACGAGATCGACCACACATGACCGAGACAAATCGGGTGAAGTCAACGGGCGCTCCACGCAGTGCCTCTGATGCCTCGGAGTGCGGGCTATGATACTGGAAGTTGCTGCATTCGTCGAACCAAGGCTTCCGACGGTAGTAGACGCCACGAATGTCCTCGGAGTAGGCGGGCCTGCTCTTGTCTCGTAGGAGATACTCCACGACCTGGTCTGTGTCGCGATGAACAAGTAGCACATAGCCGCCGCTGCGATAGTACGAGACCAGAAGCTTTCTTGCCTCTGCGCTTTCCACGATTCCGCCGCCACAGGAGAAGACGTGGCAGTAAGACTGATTCTTCATGACATCTGCGAGCAGATCGAGTTCTGCTTTTCGGAAACCTTCCCATCCGTGTGACCCTCGGATCATTTCAGGGATAGTCATACCCTCCCTTCTTTCCAGTTCCATGTCAAGATCGATGAACGGCCTTTGCAGCGTTTCTGCTAAGAAAGCCCCTGCTGTTGTCTTTCCTGCACCTCTCATCCCGATGATGAAGATTGACCGATCACCAGGTGACATGCCGGACTTCTCCGCGTGCTTCTCCACATGTGGCTCTTCACCATCCAAGGTAACTTTAAAAGACTGGGACAGCACATCCCACCAGCCAGGCCAGGTTTTTCCAACGCACTCGCGTTCCAAAATAAGCACTGGATGAGGCGAAATGACAGACAAGACACTGAAGCTCATGGCTACGCGATGATCATCATAGCAAAAGATGCCTTCGCTAGGCTCTCTCAATTCGGTGTATGGTCGTCCGGTGACCTCAATGCCATCAGGAAGCTCAGTGCACGCGACACCAAATTTGGCCAGCTGATCTTTCATGGCAAGGATACGATTGCACTCCTTCACTCTCTGATTAGCGATACCAGTAATTCGAGTCGTACCTTTCGCGACAGCTGCGAGAACAGATGCTGTCAAGAAGGCATCGGTCATCGGCTCCATATCGACATGTTCCAAAGCTTTTAGGGTACCAGGCTTTGGCCCAGTGACCGTCGTAGAGTAATCAGTCTGCACGACGGTTGCGCCCATGGGTCGCAATACTTCAACAGCGAAGCGAGCATCGCCCTGGAGAGACTTGGACCCGATGTTTGGGACTGTGCATGTAGTGCCGGTGATGGCAGCAACGGCAAGCGGGTATGTGGCGGAGCTTGCATCGCTCTCTATCTCATATTCAGGGGGGTTTACGTAGACACCCGTAGGGATATGGTACGTATTTGCCTCCGTCTTAGAGGGCTGCACCTCGATACCGAAAGACTTCATCATGGCGATGGTCATATCAATGTAGGGCTGAGAGATAGGCTTCCCTCCGACAAGGCGCAGGGTGACAGGGTTCTTCGCGTATGGCGCTGCCATGAGAAGCGAGGAGACATACTGCGAAGACACAGTGGCAGCCAGTTCAATCACTCCACCGGCAAAGCCACCGGCGGCGTCTACTTGAACAGGCAGGCTATGCTCATTTCCAAGATATTTGACTGCGACACCATTGGTCCGCAGTGCGTCGACGAGGGGACCGATGGGCCTGACCTTCATTCTTGCATTTCCCGTTAAGACAGTCGATGTAACATCGGAGGGAGAGCACAGAGCAACTACGGTTGTAAGGAACCGTGATGCAGTGCCAGCGTTGCCAAGATAGAGAGGCTCCTTGCTTGCCTGAAGCTGCCCGCCCTTGCCCTTGACTACTAGAATCTCACCAGCGTCCTCCCAGGAGTAAGTTGCTCCCTTTAAGTGGGCGATGGCCGAGAGCATATACTCAACATCATCGGAGCGCAACAAATTCTTGATGCGGCAGGCACCTTGGCCCAGCGCTGCAAGAACAAGGGCCCGGTTGGAAACACTTTTTGAGCCAGGCGGCGTGACACTGACTTCTAGACCGTGAGGCACGCCAGGAATTGCACGAACCGATGGCGACAGGACAACCCTGATGGCACGGTCTTCAACCACGCTTGCCTTGGGCTCGAAAGTCTTTCCGATGGCGGACAAGAGCACAATCTTCTTCTTCTTGCCGTCGTTCTTCTTGTCCACAGCCATTTTTTGTAGCAAGACATCGACTGGACAGTGCTTCCCGGCAGTCAGTTTGACAACACGCTTGTCCTCGACAGAGGTCGGCAAATCATAGGCCGCAATGCATTTGACGAGGCGAGCAACCGCGCTTGGCCGTAGCACACCAAGGTAACGTGCCAGCTCGGCCTCCTTGACCATGCCAATGGCGACTGCCTCACCATGCAATACCTGTGGAGTGAGGATGGCCTCGTAGGCGTGGCCGATAGAATGGCCAAAATTGAGCAAATTTCTCAGTCCACCCTCTCGTTCATCGGACGACACAACTTCGGCCTTTACTCGAGCAGAGCCAAGAACAATGCGCTTTAGTATATCTCGGATAGGCGCCAATCTCGAGGATGACTCGGTCGACTTGGACCGAACGGCGGCAAGGATGGCGGGAGCATTCTGCTCCAGGGCAGTGAACTCAACCTCATCCCAAATAGCAGCAGTCTTGACGACTTCGGCCATGCCGTTGATGAACTCGCGGACGGGGAGCGTCTCAAGAAAAGTGAGGTCAATATAGACACGCAGAGGTTGCCAGAAAGCACCTATCAGGTTCTTGCCCATGGGAGTGTCGATGGCAGTCTTGCCGCCAATGGACGAGTCCACCATGGCCAGCAGAGTCGTGGGGACCTGGACGAAACGGACGCCGCGCATGAAAGTGGCAGCAACGTAGCCGATCATGTCACCAATGACGCCTCCGCCGAGGGCAATGATGACGGTGTCTCTGGTGCATTGCTGAGCCAACATCCAGTCCTCGATCTCTGCCTTTGTTTCACGGCCCTTGGAGCCCTCGCCTGGGGGGATTGCGTATGTGAGGAGACGGGGCTTTGCGGAGCTGGTGGCGCTGCTGCTGACAGCCTTTGTGAAGACGTCCTGGAAAGCAGGGACATAGAGCGGGAAGAGATTGGTGTCGGTGATTAGGACATAGGTGGACGAGGCGATGTTGCTGAGCAGGTCGTGAGTCACGAAGTCAAGCCAGAGCCCGTGGTCGACGACGATGTCGTCCCGCCCGAGGATGGAGATTCGCGTTGGGCTTGACTTCGAATTGGAATTCGTAGTGAGGGCGCCTACTGAGGCGCCATTGACCGAGGGACTCATGTCGGGGGACGTCGCATGAGCAATGAGGCCCCGTGATTCGAGTGGTGCCGTGATACTAGCGACTTCTACACCGTGATAATAACTAAGTCGAAGAGGTTAGTTAGGCAAGGCAGGCCTCGAATTGCACTCAATTGAAGCTCACTATGAACCCAATTGTCTCCGAGAACACAGGCCCAGCGATGCGGTTGAGCTCTCGTAGGCTGTTCTCGAGGGGTTTGTGCGTATTCTTTGTTGCACAGGAGTGAGCGGGATGAGCCTCCTCGAGCTTGGGGTGGTTTTGCGTCAATCTGTATGACTCTTCTGGCTACCTTTTTTTTTTTTTCTCCGTTTCCCGACCTCGCCCATGGAAAAGCTGGGGTTTGAGGTGGCATGGTAAAATTTTAGCGCTTCTGCAAGCTGGTGGGTGCAGGTCGGGTACTTTAAGGTACCTCTCATAGTCAGCCTGACCGTTCTACCAAAAGGTAGACCAAAGTATCCGGTCCTGAACATCCGCTGCACCTGCATTCTCACCCCACCACCGGCACCCGCCCCGAGGACGGTGCCTCCACCGCCCGGGGTAGCAAACTACCGCAGGGTGCCGTACATGTAAATTGAGGTGGATATGAAGATGTATCCAGTACAAGTTACGTGGTCCTCTTGCAAATCATATCAATCCTGAGTCATCTCTAGAGCCATTGTCATTCTTACACTGGTGCAGCTTTTTGCAAAGTGCCCCTTTGCACTCGAGATGTGTTAGCCACCCATCTCTCACAAAAGTCCTGTATAGGCGGGAAATAGGGTCTGCAGTCTAGGCATATTCAAATAGTCAAACGCCATTGAATCGTCCTGTCTCTGTGCATTATTGACATTACCATCGTGTATGTTCCATGTGTGCTCAACATGGGTGACAATGCAGGCGGCGTTAATTATACACATCTGGATATGGGTATGTTACAGGGTGGCAGACTCTCTCTAGTCTCGACCGTGGTATTTTCGACCGCACACCCGCCAGCTCAATGCCTTTCATGACCAGCGAGTTAGTATAGTAAAGATCTTACCAGTAACCATGACCAGGATTGAAGACATGTGCTGGTGCGCTTGACAAGCTCAAAACCCAAAACTATCCAGAAGAGAGCTGGAGTCGGGCTCCTCGAAGACGCTCGGCGGAGGAGGCTGCCGGCCCAACATCTTCGTCTCTGAAGGCGTCTTCGGTGCTGGTGAGTGTACTGGAAGGTCTGCCACAACGAGAGAGCTTCTTCGCTTCAGCAGTTTCAGCGGGTCGATGTCCCCGCCAAACCCGGGCATCATCGTAGGTCCTGGACGTAAGAACTCCCAGTTGCGCACTATCAGCTTGTCAGTAAGAAGCATTCTTGCCACTTGTTTCACAATTCTGACTCACCGAGATCGAGACCCAGTAGGTCACAACCCATTCGATCATATAGCCGAGCGTTATGAAGGACAAACTCCCATTCGACCTTCGGGGTAACCTTGGATGCACCGCGCAGCGTTTGCAGCGTCTTCTGCCTCAGTTGGGAATACAGTACCACGAGGGCTGGGTCATCTGTGAGGAAGGATCTGGACTTGAGATCTGGAGAGGCTGGGGGTTCCAGGAGAGTAGAAACGGGGGTCTGGAATTTCATTGTTAGCGTGATCCGATGTTGGAGGCAATTTGATGCTCACAATCAAGGCGCGGACCGCCATGTCGCGCCGGCGGAGCATCCAGAAGGCCCACGATGCGAGCCAGCGATTGCCCTCTTGCGTGGCAATAGCCAGCACTTCATCCTCGAGCAATTTCTTGAGGACTGGACCCTGGTCACCTTCGTAGACGCGAGCAATTGCAATGGCAAGCTGTAGATCTTTCAGCTGGTTCAAGCAGACATTGACTGCATCCTGTAACCGGTCCGCGAGAAGGAAGAAGGCCGCCGCATATGCTGCGCCTGCTGTCAGTATCAAATGAAAGCAGCTCGTTCTTGAAAGAACTCACAGAATCGTCTCTTGCTCAATAGTGCATACGCATTCTTGAGAGCCGTAGTCCTCCACCTAGGATCATCAAAATTATTCGCGAGTAATTTTAAGGTCGCACCCTGTTCTCGGTTCCATGATGCCATCCTCCATAGACCCTGGAGCACCGTCTTCTTCCTCAAGGCGAGGTAGAAAAGGCTGCAGTCCACCGGGTTCTTCACCTCACTCCTCGTGTATTCATTTCGAGCGATGATTTCGAATTGTGCTACCTGTGGAGGCTATTAGTAGTGCGGCTAGATTATGGGACCGGGGGGTTCTTGGACTTACAACTGCAGCATTATCGGTCAGCCACATGAACACGCCGCTCTCTCGCGCACTCTCCCAGAGAAGCCTTCCATGGTGTTGTCGCGATACAAAATCGACCAGAATATCCTGGCTTGTGGAATGATAAGCCCAGCTAATTTCTCTCCAGGACATGTGTATTTCGTTCGTCCGCCCTTTCCGCAGTGCATGCTGCCGGAAGAAGAGCATGAAACGAGCACCATTTTCATCTATTGACCGACGCTGCGTTTCGACAAGGCCAACACATTCAATAATGTCGACCAGCTGAATCTGTTCATGCCCAGACAGCTGGGGTAATGCAACCCTGGTGAGTTTCTCACATATTGCTTGTGCTACATCCTCACTGAACGGATCGTCGGCGTCGTCGCTTGAAGTTCGCCGAGAGAAATAAGAGTCAGACTCCCGCTCAACTGCGGGTGCATCAGTCCACTAGATCAGTCAGCAAGTCAATTCAAAAATAGTACGAAACTGAATGTGCATGCAGATGACATACATTCCTGCTTGTGTAGAACTCTTCCATATCCAGACCCAAGTAGTCATCTATCTCGTCACCTTGAACCCAGAACTTCAGAGTCCTGTGAAGGGATTTCAAAATACGATGTACTAGAGATATCTTGCCAGCTAGCATGAATTGGCTCAAGAATTGGGGATGAAAGACCGGTAAAGGACCGTTAAGGCGCTGCACAACATCAAAGAGGTCCCACATCCCATCTTTCCGGTGAGGCAGTCGAAGACTGGTAACCAGTGAGCTCGAGACGTCGAATCTTCTATCGTGAACATAAAGCTGGTTGCCTGTTCCTATCACGAGATGTCCATCGCCAAGCCACGTGGAATCCCCAATCGAATGTGGCGTATAATCACGTATGCTTATTTCTCGGACGGGTGCCCAAGCCGGTCCTTTGTTCAGGTAATCGAATCGCATCTCCGAGAGAAGAAGCACCCGAGACGGGAAACCAACCGCCAAGATAGACTGAGAATCAGGTGTGGAAGTCCAGTCCAGATCTTGAATGATATTATGGCTTTCAAAGTCCTGAGCGTATTCTAAGCGAGCACCGCGGATATCCCAAATCGTGAGATTTGAGCGGCTCGAGTTGACAAGAGCTGCCTTCTTCATTGTGCTACCACTTACAAGAGCCGGGTTTGCTACTGCGGTCTCCATTGAGGACGTAGACAGCCACTCCACTCGGCCGGGCGAAACTCGCGCAGTCCAGAATTCGACCCTGCCCGAGTGAGTATACGAGATGGCAACATCACGAGCAAACACGTCTAGGAACCCTGATATAACAGGTGAGGAGCCTGCTGGATCTACTGGCAAGACATATGCCAGATCTCCTGCATCGTCCAGCTCAAAGCGGCAAAACTCTCGTATTGAAGCTTTTCGATGGCCGTTCACCTGTGGCTGTGTTGTTCGTGGGGCGTAAATAGGAAGGTCTAATTGCCAAACCACACCCTTCTTCTGAGACGTTATAGTCGCAATGTGCGCGACAGAGCTATCCTCAGCTCGTTGTCGTGGGAGATTCAACAGGCACAGCGGCTTCCCTGACACTGAATAGCTGCAACTTGTAAGCAAGGAAGGTTTGGATTGACGGCAATCCCAGACGGCGATACGGTCATGGAAGAGAAACACCACGAATCTCCCCTTTCGCAGTACACATATTCTGTGGATATGGCCCATCTCGGGTATCAAGTTTTTTCGGGAAAGATGTGTGTCTGTTGCACCCAATGCATGCGCCCAGACAATACTTTCGCCATCTTGTGTTCTTGAAACAACAGCTCGCCCACTGAAGTTTCTCACCATCTTTCTGATAGGAGATGAATGACCAGACCAAATAGCTTTGAGAGCAATTCGTTTAGACTGAGGGTTTGGGTCGAAAAAGCGTGCTATGTTTGACTCAAATACTGCGATCCTGCCATCAAAGGAATGGACCAGCAAATCCAAAAAGCCACCGGATGCTGTAGAATATGGATAAACCTCGATATGCTGTGAAGGATCGCAGTCTAGAATGTTATAGAAGTTGAGCTCATCAGCGTCAATGTGAGCGACTGTGAAGATATGGTGCGGGCTTTGAGGCTTGCTGGTGATGTTCTCCATGGCCCAGGCCGACATATGGCCTCGCCCATCGAAGACAATGCATATCTCTGGGTTGCGATTCGCCACTGAGATGATGTGCTGAAGGGCAGCGTCGTCTTTCTCGCTACCCGGGACTTCATCTTGGACTGCCTTCTCCGTCGCAGCAGCAAAATCGCGACCATGGAGGATAGTCGCCCACTGGACGGTGTGTGGGCCTCTGTTGCCCAACGCCTGGTTCTGCAGAGTAGCAGTAAGATCCACCGTACCCCAAAGTTGCGGGAGGGGGCTTCCATGGATGTCAGAACCTGTCCATATACGTAGTACGTTATCGACAGAAAACGTGAAAAGAACATTGTCCACTGTCTGATCCACATGATACGGTTTCCGCCACTGTAGACTTGATACCGCTTGGGGGTGCGGCAGGTATATGAAGTCGAATCGAACATCATCGGAGCCGAAGGTCAGTCGACGCCAGACTTTCACAAGACGGTCATGATAGCCAACAGACGCTATATACGCCGAGTCGTAAGACAGCAGGGCGTATTTGACCTTGCTGGGGACAGTTTTGCGCCATACGCAGGTTGGTGAAGTCGTTGTCTGGTACAGAGCCAAGGATGAGTATCCGACGAGCAGCTCTTCAGAGCCACCCCATGACAGACAGAGCCCAAGAGCCTTCGAACAACCTTCACCATCTTGAGCAAGACTTATGTCGGTCGGAAACGAGGTTTGTAGAGCCCACTGTGAATGACTTGTTTTTAGCATCCATCCACGATAAGCACCGATGGTCACGCTTCCGCCCAGCTTACCTTTAACGCGTTCTCTTCCCGGCCAAAAGGCTGATATATGCGGATGTTCTGATTCGTGCATACTGCTATCTTGCCGGAGACCTCGTCGAAAGAAACCGCTTCTAATGGGGTTTCGTCGTCGTCGTAGATGGTTTGGAGAAGGGTATCGTGATCCGTGAGGATGGCGAGCGAATTGCCGCTAATATAGACCTAATTACCGACCAGTCAGTTCATTTCCTGTGGTCTACAGAGCTGGGTTGCATCTGTTCAATTACTCACAACAATGCGCCGCGAGTCCCAGAGGCCTGTGGTAAGAGCTTGGAGCCTGGGCTCTGGCTTGCCTGGAAGGACAGCCTTCATTGCTACCGCCGGGGATCCAGCCGCGATGTCATCTCTGGGGTGGGCGCAAGGAAGATAGGTAGTGCAGAACGATCAGGAGCGCGCCATGCAAGTGATGCAATAGCTGGGAGCAACAGGGAATCTGGGACAAGTATGAGCTTTGGCGATTGAATTGTTTTCTGTCTGCAAGTCGCGACGCCTGCCGACGAGGAGCCCCGGTCTCAGGAAGCCGGGCTTCAGATGCTGATCGAGATGCCAATATCACCCTTGGCTGATGCGACGACGCAGATAGGGTGTTGGTTACTGGAATATAGAGATAGAGCCTTGAAGGGAACCGGGGGTTGATCTGTCGCGAGAGAATATTGGTCCAGAGGCATCACCAGACTCATGGAAGTTGAGGTGCAGCACCAGACCTTTTGGCTTTTGGAGAGCTACCTACTTAGCTACCCCAGTAATTGCCCTGAGTGGTTTGTACTGTACATGATCTAGGTGCCGCGGTACACCACGCGTAATGTTAAATTTTGAGAGGTGTACTTGAGACAGGCACGTCATCCCACTTTAAAGGTCCGCTGAACTTAGCGGCCTCTTCAGGTGCGATTTGTATTACAACGGCATCTGGCAATAGAACTGCCTTGAACAAGCACTGAACTGCATCAATGTCTTGGGTCAGTGTTGCTAGCATGACACATTACCATCGCACTGTCCTTTATTTTCTGCCCCTGCATTTCGAATAACTGAAGAGCCTATCCAGGTATGACTCTTCACATCAGGACATGCAGCAGTACCACCCTTTTTCCAAAACGCCAAGGCTGTGGTCGGTATTTGTTAAAATACATACATATACATGGGCTATATTCCTTCTTTCTTCTTCTACTTTGAGAAACGATGATTCCCCTACACATTTTTGTGATGGCGGCGCTATAAGTTGCTCCGGTCACGGCCTCATGTCCGAGGGGAAACCGCTGAAATTCCCATTGTTGTCGTATTTGGCTTCTGCGAGGGCGTTAGTGATTGAAATGACCCATTCCCGCGCATGGGAGCTACTCACTGAAGAAGGTGTAGGAGAGCGTCACGGTTTCGACGCCTTTCATGTTGAGATCGTTCAGCAAGTCCGGGTCTAGGTAGAAGAAGACCGGCATGTCCACGGTCTCCCCCGCGTTCAGGCGCTGCTCCTCGAAGCAGAAGCACTGGATCTTGCTGAAGTACGGAGCCACTTGTGCCGGTGTCACGCTGTATGTCGCCACCCCGATGATGTCCGAATCACTTTTATTCGTAGCTGTGTAGAATGCCAGCGCCGTCTCGCCGGGCAGAACTCGTACCTCGCGTTGTTGCGGAACAAACTTCCAGGGCAAGACGTCGGATACGGAGGCGTTAAAGGTGACTCGGATGCGCTTCGCGTCGGTGACAGGTTGGAGGCGGCTGGCAATGTCTCCTCCGTCGGCGCCGCCATGTCCAGCCGCTCGTACTGGCTGTCCACCCCAGCCCGTTGTCTGACATATCTGTAGCGAGAGGGCGTTAGCCAGATCGGCTACTGCGGATGCTTGAGGTCACTCGAGTGCATTATGTGAAGTGCGTACCATCTTGTAGAAGGGAACTGAGCCGTACGAGAATGCAACTGTACCGAGGATGATGCTCAAGGCGTAATACCTGGTGGGGACACGCTGTTTAGCTTGTAAGACTATGAGAGACGGCTTCGCATGCGTACATTGTTGTTCGATTCTTCCGACTGTAGACGGCCCGCATGTGCTCCATGCTCGGGGCAGCAGCCTGCTGGCTTTTCCTGGTGCTGCTAGAGACCTGCCTCACCGCGGTCGCAACTCTTTGTCGAGGTGTATGCTGCGCCTGCATGCTCCGACACAGCGCGCATGTCCACCTGATGCTCGCAGGCCTCAGCCCGGGGATCAATTGGGAAAGACTGGCCATCCTGCTTCGTGCCGTAGAAGCTGTGGCGGGTCGGCGACGACGAAACTTGGTGGTTTGCGAGTGGGATGATTTTCTCTGGCTCCGGGCGGCGTCGGATGTTGCAGGGGCTTGTCGCTCGGCTTAGCTTACCTAGGTAAGGTACCTAGGTAGCTTAGCTTAGATACCTACCCTGACCACTAAGTCTTGATTCCCGGCTTAGATCTCACCCACTCCTCCGCCAGGGTAATAAACGTTGATTCTTTAAGCTTGAAAATACTCAAAGGCGAGAGTTGCAATACTCACCAACCTCTCGAGCATTCTTTTTATTACCATGGGTCTATCAACTTCTACGAGGGTAGGATCCCCTTGTTGAGAAGGTAGTGATACCCTTGCTGAACTAACATTCATTATCCTGGCGGAGGGGTACACCACCCGCTCACTTTCATCTACACTCGATTGGTCACAGAATCGTGGTGTCCATCAAGGCCACATGCCTATTGGTATTATAGCATGGCTTGAAATCAGGAGTGGTGTCAATATTTACTGTTATGTCTTATCAACGACAAAAACCGTAATCCTTTTCTTTAAGAACAAATTGTACAGTGGCAAATGGTTCATGTGACATTGGTCATGCAGCAAAAGTCTCCTTGATTTTCTGACCGTATTTTGAAGGAGACTTCGGTGTAGTATAGTATGAATCATCGACAATTTTGTACTCCTTCAGGAGAACTTGGCTTTATCGACATTTCCATTTGTGCTTTGGAACTGGGATCCATACAGGGATGACATGGATGATATTGCCATATCCAACGGCCTCACCACGAAAACTTGAATCACCAGTATGACGAGCCGAAGGAGATGATCTCCCAAATTGAGAACCGGCCGCCTCCCTCTACTAAACGTGGAATCAACAACCTCGAATGGCAACTTGGCTCCAAGATGCTCCGTGGCAACATGAAGACCACTGCTAAAGCCATCCTCGTGGAACCCATACTTTGTCCATGCGCCGGCGTAGCTTATACCTCGGGTATTTTGGATCCGAGGAAGTAGTCCCTGTGCTCGAACGGCTGCGGCGTTGTAAAGCGGATGAGCGTATGAATACCTCCCCTGTACAGTCTCCTTCTTCGGCTCGTGTAACGGGTTGAGCGTAACGAGAACATCGCCGAACGTCTCCTGCGGAACATGCTGAAGAATGTTCATATTGTATGTCAGGGATACTTGATCAACTTTGTTTCTACCCGTCTGCTGCGACGAGAGAGTCAAGTAATTCCAACTGGACCAGGCCTTTCGTGATTCCGGCATGAGCGAAAGATCCGAGTGTAGCACTGCAGTATTCTCGGACGTATGAAACGAGGACATGATGGACTTCTCATACTCGGTGGCAGAATCCTGAATGATCGAGTATGCTTGGTTCCCGTGAGTCGCCAATATCACATGGTCGTAAATCTCAGATTTTCCTCCTTCTAGGTGGAGTCGAACCTGCCCATTCTTCTCATTGGTCACCGACTTGACAGGCGTGTTGAGAAACAGATGATTCTTTGGGAAGCCGCGCATCACTGCGTCTATATACGCTTGTGCGCCGTCCTTGACCGTGAGCCAGTCTGGACGTGCTGCAACTGTGGATAACAGATGATGGTTCCAACTGCGAGTGCGTTAGCCTTGGCGCACATGCAAACAGGCAAGTAATTGTTTTACAGGAACCGAACCAGGGTCACAGCGGGAAACTCCAGAGCGCATTTGTCGGGACCTGTGCTCCATACACAAGCCGTCATGGGGATGAGGTAGTCATCTCGGAATGCATCCGAGTAGCCCTCTCGAGCTAGATATTGGCCGATAGTCTCCTCAGGAGTGAATGACTTCTCAGACAAAGCCCCTGTGGTTCCCAAGTCGTCATCAACTAACAAATCTAGAGCAAATTGATTGAAGCGGACAATGTCAAAGACCATACGCCACATTCTCGGCGAGAAGAGGTTTCGTCTCTGGCAAAACAGAGCGTCGATGCTTGAGCCGGCCCATTCAAGCACGCCGTGATCTCGAGAGATCCCAAATGTCATTGCCGTTGGCGTTGTGGGGACATCGACTTTTTTGAGAAAGTTGATGAAGTTGGCTGGAATATATGTTAGTGAGTGAGGTCTCTTGATAGAACGGCGGGTGAGCTTGCGCACTGACGGTAGGTAGCAGTGTTCAGGACAATGAAGCCCGTGTCGACCATCGTGGTGTATTTCCCACGAGTCCACTTGACTGTGTTGGTGTGACCACCGAGACGCCCGGCAGCCTCATAGAGATAGACGTCATGATGTGTCCTGTTGAGGGCCCAGAGCGCGGCTAGGCCAGAACAACCACTGCCAACGATGGCGACCCGTTTCCTGGTAGAAAGGTCAATTGTCGATGTCATTTGATAAGATGCAAGGGCAGGAATAGAGTAAGAGAGGACAAAAGAAAGCACTTCAACAAAACAAGTCTGAAGATTTGAGCGGGCGGCAGCAGGAGAACTAACTAATCACCAGCTGTACATACAGCCAGAGCTTTCATGACTTTCTTTTTTGAGTTCACTAGGAGAGCGGGCCAGCTGGCGCAAACAGGTGCCGGTACGACATGGAATGGAATGGGGGAGTCGGCGGGATGCGGGAAGAAGCCACAACGGATGAGTTGACTGTGCTACATGGTGGACATAGTAGGGAATGACAGCTCAGTGCCGGGACAAGACAGATGAAGGACCCAGCTTGCCTGTCACGGCCATTCTCTGAACGCTTCAGTGACTTGTAGAGATACGATTTGTATGCAGTAAGTACATGTAGATGGTTGGGGCCTATGACTATGTATCTAGGTAGGTAATTTGTGGGTGGTAGCGGGCAGGCCTGTGAGGTGTCTGGTTGCAGGTGAGACACTTGCAAATGTCAACTCACATTGGTTCTTGCTCCTCGGCCATGGCGTACCTTAAAGTGTGCTCGTCACTGCAAACCCGAACTTTAACAACGGGATGGCGCTAAGATGCTATGGGTTGGGAGACAGAACAAATATACTATGATGCTGTAGAAGTGAACAAACGGCGAGCCACTTGGGGGAGGGTGGCAGAGAGGGAAGAAGAGGGTAGATGGAGGTAGCCATTGGAGCTCTCTGAGAAATAATCCATGCCAGGTGTGACTTCGGTGACACTTAGATCTGAAGTTGCTTGACACTGCGATCCGAGACGTATGGGCCTAAGAGTCGTAATCGACAGGGGTTGAGACGCACGCATTGGCACCGGCACCGGCACCGGCACCGGCGCTAGTACAGTACGCATACTCAAGTGAAAAACACAAGGGCACTGATCGGGATGGCCAGAACCCAGGGGCACTCTGGTATTACCTTCACTATACTTCATCATACAGTTTCGATATTGTCAAAAAAGAGGTGGAAGAGGCCTCTCCAGGTAACATCACATGCTGGATAGGGCGCTCCCCAACCTCAACAGGCAAGGTGAAGCAGGAAGTCGTCCTTCTCATCAAATCAATCAAAATGTAGAGGCCTAACGGGATCCCATATTCATTGCAGCGAGTATGAAATTCTTAGAAGCACCGATTCACTCTGCCCGGCTAATACAACTCAACGCGCATGGGGGAAAGATTTGGGCGCGCTGAGCCTATTACTGCGTATCCGGGATTTCAACTTTCTGTAATAAAAAAGGAAAAAGAGAGAGGAATGAGAGAGGCAGAAAAAGCCACCAGCAGTATAGTGGCGGTGATGATATTGCCAGCTTGCACCGCTTGCCGCATGCGTGTATCTGGTGCCCCTGGGCTCCACTAAGATGCACCCGCCTCCAACGATTGGGATTGTACGTGATTGGTCGAAGCCACACTCAACGGCAACCTTGGAAGGCAACATCATTCGCACCCTCCCTCCACCTTGATCCAATGACTTGATGATACCCATTCTCGACTGAACAACTATTCCACCGACCATCGACTCCACGACCACCACACTATCCCCGCCCTGCTCCTCGACCGCTGTACCAGACATCTGTGCCTGGCCACTATCTTCGGCCATCGACAAGCGAACCTGCTTTCGGGAACGCCCTCCAAAGTCCGGCAAGGCCGCACCCGCCTCCGCGGCACCATCTCCATCCATCATGTCCAACCCCCTAGACACCGATGCTGGCTCTGAGCTCTTCAGCAGCTATGAGGCCGAGTTCAAGCTCGTCCAGGCAGATCTGACCCAGAAGCTGGACCAGATCCCCGAGCTTGCAGGCGAGCCGCGCAAGGCCGCCATCAGCCAAGCCGAGAGAGCCCTCGAGGAGGCCGACGAGCTGCTGGGACAGATGCGCCTCGAGAAGCAGAACATTCCCTCCGCCACACGCACCCGGGTCAACCAGCGATTCCGCAACTACGAGACCGATGTCGATGGATACAAGCGAAAACTCAGAGGCCTCGCCGATGACCGCTCGGCCCTCTTCGGCAGCCGCTACTCGGATAACCCGAGCGATGTGCAGCTCGAGCAACGGCAGCAGCTGCTGCGAGGCTCAGACCGCCTGGATCGGAGCACCCAGCGTCTGAAGAACAGTCAGGCCCTTGCGAACGAGACCGAGGCCATCGGTGCCAGCACCCTCGCGGACCTCCATCGGCAGAGGGAGACCATCCAGCACACGTCAGACATCCTGCTCGAAAGCGAAGGCTATGTTGATCGGAGTGTCAAGACTCTGAGGGGCATGGCACGTAGGTAAAGCACCCTTTCAGGCTCCTCGCTCTAGTACAGATGAAGTTCTAATCATACCCTGCAGGATGGCTACGAATCGGGTGATCACCATCGCCATCATCACCGTTCTTGTTTTACTTATCATCGCCGTCATTGTTAGCAAGTTCAGATGAACACGGAGCGCTCGCTTGGCTTGGAGTTGGGGTTTAATCCATTGGTTGAGGCGTTGTGTCCCGATATCTATCGTTTACTGCAAGAACTGCTTAGCTCTACATATCCGATCTTACTTGTTCATTAAGTCTGCATGACATCAGAGGCATTTGCAAGTTCATAATATCAATTCTGGACACGAGCCAGTCTCTCTATCTTTTGCGTCCATGCCAAGCATCTTTTGTCGTATCGTGAGGATGAACGCAAAGTCCCGGGTCATTCTCAGTACAAATCAAGAAATGAACAAATGCCTAAACGCCTAAACGTGCCCTATGATGCCGTCTAATTTCTGCCCTTCCTGAACTTCTTGACTCTGCCTCCTGAAGGTGGACCGCGTCGCTTGTCTTCACCGAGAGCTCTTCTGCCAGAGGCAATGCCTCCTCTTCCAGACCTGCCGCCCGCACGAGGACGACCCGTGCCACGGCCTCTGGCATTGAAGCGGTTTCCACGACCAGCCTTCGCAGCTAGCGCAGCAGCAGCGCCAGCCTCGTCCACATCCATGTCTTCATCGTCATCATCGTCTTGGCTCCGTTTATTGGACCACTTGAGCTTCCCCCGCAGACCCTTCTTTGGAACATCCTTGCCCTTAAGCGCGGCCACATAGGCGCCAACACCACTCTCCTCTCCGTTGCCGGTATCCAAGTCCATAGCCCCATCATCGGCCTGCTGGCCAAGAACCAGTCTTCCATCCATATCAACCTTGGCTTTTGTCTTGGTCGGCTTTCGCAACTTGACCGGCTTGGTGGTTGAGATGTTGCCCAATGCCCTGCGATCCAAGAGATCCAGCGGTTCGTCTTCGTCCTCAACAATGTATGTATTGCCCTCCTTGCGCTTGCCCCTCTTTGACTTTCCGATTATCTCCTGATCAGAATCATCTGATCCATCGGATTCACTGCTACTGTATAGGGCCTGATCGTACTCGCTTTCGAAGCGGCCGCCTTGTCTCTTCTGCCCCTCGTCGTCGTCATCTTCCTCGCCAGCCTCCTTGGCCGCTTCCTTGCGCTTCTTGCTGCGCTCCTTAGTCTTTCGGATATTGGTAATCAGTTTTCGGTCCTCTTCGGGACAATTCTTATGGACGACATCATAGCCAAAACGACGGACCATCCGCTCAAGAATGTGCTTGACCTTGGCACGGAAATGACCCTTGTGTTCATGGCTCCATACCATGAGATTGGGAATCATGGAAGCAAGCCGAGGTTGCATCAACTCGGTTGGCAGACTGATGACAGAGACCTTTACAAAACCCAAGACACTCTTGACAATCTCTCGATTGTTTGACGTCAAAAAGAGATCCATTGTTTGAACGAGGTCGCTGAGCGTTTGCGGACTCAGCGATCCTTGAAACTCGTACAAGACCCGAGAAATTGCCGTGATAGAGGCCGAGATCATGTGCGGTGTACTCCCCGCCAATCCGGCGCTCACCATGGTGAAGTATTCTTCAATGCTTGCAGCTACCGATGGCGCATCCTTGGGCATATGTGGAACTTTGCTATTGTCAATCACCGCACCGTCAGCGGCGGACATTTTCTGGCCAAGTAAAACGAGCAAATCAAATGCGGTGGTCCTGGCACGTTCGTTTTGTTCTTTGCAGCCGATGACAACTTCCGAGAGGATGGACGGGATGAAGTGCAGAGAGGTGTCTGGTAGGAAGGGAATCAATGCCGCAATCGCTGCCAGACGTTCACGTCGTGCCGGTGCCGATACGGTCTCTGCGCTCGACAGCAGCAGATTTTGTAACTCGTCGTGTCTCTCGCGCAGCGCTGCCTCTCCCGCTGGTGATTCCGCAAGGCGAGGAATGATCTTGTATGCCTTTTTCTGCAGCTGAGCGTCGTCATTCTTCACAACGATGAGTGACGCTATCTCAAACAAGGTAGCGAAGCTTTCTCTAGGGAGATATGCAGAAAGAGTGATAACAAGATCCATGAGGGTTTGTGCAGTAGATGGAAGTTTCTCGCCTCCCTTGGGGCCGTCTGTTTTCTCTGGCTGGGCGGCGGCGTCCTGCAGAGAGGACTCGAGCATCTTGCATACCCGGTCAAACGTCTCTGTAAGCTCCTTGGCTGGTGTGACGCTGAGATAAGCGTTGATGGTCTGTAAAATCATGCCCCTGGAGTGCGGAAGTGTCTGTCCGTAAACATTGAAGAGAACGGCTAGGAAGTTGCCTGCAAAGGTGCCAAGGTAGTCTAGATTCTTCTGTGCCTGCTCTTTCGTGACTCGGCTTTGCAGTAGTAGATCATCGTCTTCCTCTATGGAAGCTATCGCCTGGTTCGAGTCAACCAAAGCTTTCAAGGCTCGACAAACATCAAGCCTCAGATCCACTTGTTGATATAGCAGGTTTGCGAGAAGTTCTGCAAACCCTTGGTCAAATGATTCTTGAAGATCAAGCGGAAGGTCGCAATATCCCGGGAGGATAGACCAAACCTGGTGAACCACAGTTTCGTAGATTTTCACTTCCATCGTTTTGTCATTTGTACCATGGTCAAGGACCCTCTGAAACATAACCTCACTCAAAGGAACGAATTCGGTCCGGAAATGGCCCAGGTTGGTGTTGGCTGTGTAGTCTCGCAGCAATGGCAACATCCAAGCGCGGCCGGGCTGACCCTTCTTTGGTCGAGCTAAATTTAGAGGTAGAACATCCAATACAGCCTCGGGGCCCATGGCTCGGATAGCTTTACCAAGCACCTCATCTGCCTCTTTCTTGCCTGCAAATGATTCGTTGCTCCTCATATCACCAATAGACTTGGTAACATCGACCAGGAACGGGAAGGCTCTCCATCTGAGCGAGTCATACATCGCCCCTAGGACGTTGAATGTCTCCATCCAGGCGCCTTGGTATTTGACACTAAGAAGACCCTCTACTACTTTGACAAGTTTCTCGAGAATCTTTTCGTCGTAAATTGATGGCTCTAAAATCACCTGTGCTGGAATGCAGTTCGCTAAGAAAGACACCAAACATTCTGATGCTGATATCCTGATATTATGTGCCGGGGACTCAAGAAACTGGGAAACCATCGTGAACAACTCCGGCAGCTTCTGGAAGGTATCTTCCGGTTCGACTTGTGCGGAGACATCGTAACCCCTCGACAAGATTGCAATCCAGGGGGGAAGCAGCTGGGTGTCGTTCGGGGCCGGCCGTAACTCAGAAATTATCTCCAGGACGCGCGGTAGCTTGGATGAAGCAAGGTCATCAGCCAAGCCTTCAAAAATCATTTCGAAGATGTCAAAAACAGCAATAGACATGTGCTCGTTGCCGCTGCGGGCAATGCCGAGTAAGAGCTCGCACAATGGCTCAATCTTCTTGCTGGGCCAACCCCCACTTGCCCCAGCGACTGTCTTGATCAACTGCAGCGCATGGAGTGTATTCGGATCGTGTGTTGGCTCTGAACTCTTTTTCTCTTTTCGCGAGCGACTTGCCGTGTCCGCTATCTCGGCAAGGGTCCGCATGGCTGTCTCTGCGCACATGTCTGCGGCAGGATGATCTAGGGAGGGTGATGGCGGCGGGTTTTTGAGGATCTTTCTGAGTGCTTCCTGGGCCCTCTTACGCACCTTTGGCCGGTGCTCTAGGGAAAGATTCAACAACCCGGCAACTGCCCGCCTCGGACCGATCTGAGCCGCAGATAGCTCCCATGCTGCCGAGTCCTGCGCAAGAAGCAGGCTCTCCAAACATCCGATCGATGGTCTCAGTAGAGGAGCGTCGGCGTCGGGTTGTGAGACTACTGGCGCTAGGAGCGATAGAATCTGTGTGAATTTGGCTCGGAGGAGGGGTTGAGGAGCGAAAGGTGTGACAACATCGAGAAGATAGACAATTGAAGTCGTAAGGCCCTGATTACCAGCACCATTTGAAGACGCCTGGCCAAGAAGTGCAAGGAGTGCCGCAAAATAGGCTGTCGGAGTGGGCTCTGAGCTCTGCTCCTTGAGGGTCGCATCAACCGCCTGTAACACAACCGCCGTCTAGATTCACGAGCGTTAGAAGACGTCCTTCATCAGATGCGCATGCGGAAATTGGAGAGAAATTGGCAATAAAAGCCATACCTGCTGTTGGCTTTGCAAATTCGGTGACCGTATTTTGTCGAGCTTCTCTGTGAGGGTTGGGGTCGCCATCTTGAAAGACCACTTCAAGAGGTATCTTGGGACATGGACAACAACTCACTGGCAGATCGAGGCACCAAGAAAAAGTTAAGAAAATTAAAGAATTTTGGTGTGGGGTGGTGCTTATCGGGACTGATAAGATGGATGACTCAGCTGCACTAGATGCTCCCGATATGTGACCGCCTCATACCTACCTAGCTACCTTAGAGAAGCACGGACATCACCCGCAATTCTAAGACGGCTCTGGCAGCTTGAGCATTATGAAGAGATGGTTCAGTAGTGCGTACTGTTGTCTGCCAAGTAAGAAGAAATCAATAGCTGAGTAAACTGCAGGAAAATTGAAAAGTCACTTTATTCATTCGATGGATGAGTTAAGTCAGACGCTGTGTCGATTCCAATGCTCCACAAGCCCAGAGTGTTCCGAGTATTGCGGGCCGCCTACCGCAGTAGGGAAGGCTATGTACCTTGCGTACAATGAGTGCGTGTTGCGACGAATCTCAAACATATCCCAAACCAGAACGCCATCATCTATGGACAGAGAGACACCCAGCTTACGTTTATGAAAACTCGTTGTCAGCCTCCTCGATCTGGCCCTTGATTCTTAACAGAATCGTCGTCTTCCACTTATCCAACTTGCTCATCTGATCATAGGCGTACAGCTTGTCAGCGAACTTCTCCTGATCGCCTTCCTGGACAGCCCCAAGAACGTCTACTAGCAGTTGATGTTCTCTTTGACTGGCGAAAGTCGGATCCATATCCCTGTACTTGTCGAGAGCCCGCTCCGTAGACACCTGGTCTCCTGTGGCTAGGTGGCAGATGCCTGCTTTGAGGAAATACTCCTTCACTGAGTACCTCATAAGGTTGTTGCTGATGGACGCCTGGGCAACCTTTTCGTAGTTCTCTATGGCCTTGTAATAGTCTCCGTCAAGAGCGGCAATGTCTGCCACCTTCAGCCAGAGCTTGTTCGCCAGTCTGATGGCATCCGATTAGCATGTCGCAGATTGAAACGAGAAGGAGAGGGTCTACGTACGCCGTGGCACCATCGCCTTCATACCATCCAGCAGAAGCCTCGTAAGCGGCCAGAGCACCCTTCATATCGCCCAGCTCGACCTCATATAGTTCACCCAAGCTCTCCTTGTGAGATGCAGCTCTTCGGAAGTTGCCCTTGGTGCAGTATTGATTGATGGCAAAGTCGAGGCACTTCACTGCTTCCTGGGGGCTCTCTTTGCGGTAGACCTTGAATGCGTCGACCAGAGTGTTTGCAGCATCGTCGGGTTCGTTCAGGTTCTTGGTTTGAATCTGTGCCGCCTTCTCGAAAGCTTGACCGGCTTCGCGATCTTGCCATGGTATTAGCAAGATTGTGATGACAGGTTAGATAATGCGACGACCTACTTGACTTCTGCATCCTGAAGGCGTTGGCAGCCTGGATATACAAGTCTGCGGCATTCTGGTATTTGTCTTCGCGGCCGCCAAAGAAGCTGAAACCGCCAGATGCACCTTGCAGTGCCTTGTCTGCCTACAAAAACCATCAGCGACCGTTGTTGTCTCGAGACCATGGGGCGGCGGGGTGTACCTTCTGAAGCAAGGCTCGGGGATCCTGAGCCATCTTCTTGATGATGAAATCTAGATCGAAGGTTATTTACGATGATTTCGAGGAGCCGGAAACCATGCGACAGGGTAGGGCGGCGTGGTAACTAGTTGGTGTTGTGGATTGCGTAGTGTAGATGTAGAGGTGAGTTGTCGTTATCCTGCGCCTGCACCGAACCTAGGTGGGGGGGGAATGGGGCCACAGCGGGGGCGCTGTCACAGAGCGACTTGGGTGCCCATCAACCGTGTCCGCTGCGGCAAGGTATGACGAACACCGCCAGCCGCTCCTGTCATCAGCCATGATGGCCTAAGGCATAAGGCACCCCACACCAACAAGCTCGACCTCGTGCTCGAGTCTACCTGAAGTGGATGCTCATTAATACCGAGCTCGGCTCACTAAAGACACATAAGTTTCATCAACACCTCATGTACAGCCACCATAACATGGATTAATATAATGAACACGGGACTCGAAGTCTTGGGAAGGATTTTATTCTTATTATTATGAGAATCTGGAACATGATAAGTTACAGAGGTTCAACAACGTCATTCGAGAACTTCAGTGTCACAATACTTTGATCTCGTTATAAGGCCAACAGCGTTCTTGAAATCCAAATTCGACTACCTGTACGATCATCGCCATCAGCTTCTCCTTGGCAATGTCCTGGACCGTACATGGTCCTGGATCAAAAGCGCTATACGCAATGAAGACCTTATCACCGGGCAAGCATGCTGTGGCAGCACGCAGACAGCAAAGCTTTTCATGCATCTGTGCACGACAGCCACGGAGGCTGTATTCAACAGCCGTTCAGCCACCAGGAAGTCGAACAGGAGCCGCGAGCATCCGCAAATCTCAAAACATCTCGGAGATACTTGCCAAGCCAACGTGGTCGGCAAGATCACTGCTGCCCGACAATTCTACCTCTTCAAAAGAAGAAATATCCTCAAAACAACTGCATCACCTTCTACGGCTCTCTGCTCTACCCTTACCAAAATCGCCAGAGGAGGAGAAGCAGATGATTGATATTCTGCAGTCGCAGTTGCACTTCGTCAGGGATATTCAAGCAGTCAACACTGTAAGCCTGTCACCCTTGAGGTCAATTCGCGATGAGACAGAAGAAGGTCTTCGTGAGGGTACGATTGGTGTTGAGCAGGTATCAGTGGCGCTCTCGGAGGAGACAATATTTGGGCATAGCAGGCGACCCCGGAGACAAAAGAAGAGTGAGAACGTCGATGCCGGTGGTTGGGATGTCCTCGGCACGGCATCACGGAAAGCTGGCAAGTACTTTGTTGTCAAGAGTGGGAAAGACTGAGATGTCGCCTCAACCACTGATAACGAAGGACCTCCGTTCACAGCTGTTCACAGATGTCACACACAGCACCCTGAGATACGTCGATATCTTTGGATTCGCGGCATGCAGGCTACGTTCCGAGCAATGTGTAGATGAGTGGCGCGAAAACCCCGATCGAATAAGGGATGGCCCGGATGTCCGGGGCAGTTTGCTGAAAGTGCAGCCTGCATGATCCCCATCGAGGTTGCTAATGCATATGCGGAGCAATGCCTTGATCCATACGCTCTGATCGTTCCCTTGTTCTCATAAGTCGTGGTTCATAGCAAGAAAAAGATACTCCCTTCCATCAGATGGGCAATTTGCCCATCTTCCCCTTTTGTCCTCGTGCGTCACGGCCACCCGGTTCATTCCTCTGTCGTTGGCCTCTTCGAGTCGGGATATTTTCTTTGTTCGCACCTGCAATGAGCTGCGACTGCTTGTCGAAAAGTGCAAGGGAATGTTCCTCTCTTGCCAACTGCGCCGGGTTCAGGTCATCCCAACCTACGCGCTTCAGAATGGTCCCCATCAGCTTCTGATATCGCGAGTGATCCCTGATCAAGTCGCTCACATCTACGTTCTCCACGCCCTTCGCTCCATCAACGGGCTGCAAGCCCGCAACTCCGAATTGGTGGCTCCCTGTTCGATACATGAAGCCTAGCAATGTATCATTCTCGGAATAGACATTCACGAGACGACCTGCTGTTACGCTCTTCATCGACACCCAGACGTTACCCTCCGAAGGAATCGGGCCCCCTATTAGAATTGCAGAGTCCACAAGGGTGAACACTCGTCGCTCCGCCAAATTCATTAAGCATGTATAAATGACCCGTGCAGCAAGGCCGAACCCAATCAAGGTGATCCCGCGCTCGCCATGTAACTTGGCTAAAATGGCATCGGCAAGCGTCGCACCCGCCTTGTCTGCGCGGACAATACCGACACACCATGGATTATCGAGAAGTTTGCTGACTTTCATCAATGTAACGGGCCATGTTGCCTGCTTGAGGGTATCGATGACTGTATACTTGTTAGTGCTCTAGCCGTAATCCTTTGCAGCAGAGTAGTTGGGGCATTGGGTTACGAGAATGTCCATGAAAAAGCAAGCCTGGATCAACAAGGCGAGGAAGAAACTAGAAATTGGGGGAAATACTCGATCGTCCAGCCATATCCCCCTTGGCACTCAACCATGCGGCACTCTTGGCCACCGTCTCGAGAGACGTACCGATCTTCAAAAGCGCTTCGCTGTCCCATCTGAACGCGAACACCTCGCTCTGATTGCCTAGTGCCTGCCAGGGTTGTGTAATGTCTTCGTTCTCGGTTGTCCACCCATTGATCCCAAGCACAACTCGCAGTCTTCGGTTATCTGGGGAAACATCCTTGGCATCTCGGTATTCGGATCCAGTTTCACCAAATAGGGGGATGAAAGCGAAGTCTTGGACATCCTTGGTGAAGATGTCTAACATCTTGCCAGTCGCCTTATTTGCATAGTAGATGCCGAAAACAGTACCGAGACACATGCAACTGTCAGCTACCGGGCCAAGGAGGCCAGCAATGGTTGCTGGTCCCATTGTTGGTCCACCGCCGGGCACAATTCCAATTCCCGCAGCAACGAGAGGCGCTACGAGGCTGCTGGATCCGGGAGCGCCGCTCCCACCCACGGCGGATTTCCATCTTCGAGAATTCCTAGGCTCTTCAGATCGAGGACGAGGAACCTCCTCGACAAACGTTTCTTTCTGTACCTTGGACATGATCTTGGCGACTCGTGCCTCATCCTCGGCAAGGATGTGCACTGGGAGGCGTAGGGAGGATGTAACATGGAGCATCATGATTCGAGAGTACGAGGCGTAGTGATCGATTGACAAGGTCTGGAGCAGAAGGGCACGGAGGAGAAGCTTTCTCTTGTCTATCTGAAGACTGGACAAGGACGTCGGTAGTGGTGAATAGAGCTTTGATCCGGTGGGAATAGCCTCGGTAAACGCTTTCCTGGTCCCGAATGTCCCTGATGTATTTGGTCAGCTTCTTTAAGCAGATACCGACGGTTGGCTGGCCTGGGATATTTGCAATCTTCGTCGAAGACACAGGCTACTTCTCGTCGGATGGGCATTGAATCCCTGTAAGATGACGAAGATGACTTGGGGTCTCAGTAGGCAAAGGTGCATGCTTGACTTACCATGATGATTGCCTCGCTGGTTGAGCGCGCCGCCTCGAGACGGGCCACTCTGACGTTGCTGTGTAGGATTGCTGTTGACGACGACGGTGATTTCATTGAGCTTTCTCATGACATGAGTCTGCCACTTCTTGAATGCAGCCAATGTGTCCTTCTTGAGTTCTGCCATGGACGGGCTCATAGCCTCAGGGGCAGCCTGGGTATTAGCGATGGGTTAGCAGCGTGATAGCCTCACTGTGGCCCCATACTAGACGCATGGGTCGAAATGGGAGGGAGTCAGCTCAAGATAGACCCATGTGAGACTCACCTTCTGGCTCACCATCTCCGGGGTGTAGACCCAAATCTTGACACTGGTCTGGCTCCTCGCCAGCTCAGTTCCACAATACTGAAAGGTCTCAATCACCTTGGCTTGCATATTCTCCATAATGGCGGTCACAAGTGTGATGAGGTCGGTCTTTTGGGGCATGGTGAGCACCACGCTCAGGTCCGCCTCCCTTCTAGGGGGAGGTCGTCGGCTGCCTCCGCCGGGTGCCATGGTTGAAGTGGTCTCAGCGATGGTGTTGTCAGAGGTCAAAGGAGGCTCAGATGGAGGTGGTTGCTGAGCTGAGAGTATAGGAGGAGGAGCACCAGGAGCAGGCTTGGGTGACGGTGGAGGTGATGGAGGAGCATTTGCGCCGTGGTGCAGCAGATGGGCGTCTGGAGGCTCCTTTGCTTCTTTCCTGGAGATGGCCTCCATCTTGCTAGGAGCGGCCAGGTAGGATCAACCTAGATAAGGAGGCAGGTGGATACCACCAGCTTGGTTTGTCGACTCGGGAAGGAGCTATGAGTCGTCTTCTTGCCACGAGTCTTTTTGAAGCTATGAGGGCAGTCACTCGCTGCCCTCTAAAGCGCTGACCTTTCTCTCTTTCCAGTCTACCTCAACTTAGACAGGAAGGGGCAAAGGCTCAATAGTTAACTTGACCTTGATTTATTCCCAGTGTGGTGTCAATAGAGATGGGTGTGGCCTGTTTGACTGTTTGTTCACTCTTAGTCCACCTTGTTCAGGACATGTCACATGGCTGCGGAGAGGCCTGTTTGGTTCATTGCCCTGTGTCCATCCGAAGTGACAGGTCTCTGGCAACAGCCATGCATGAGGTCGGGCAAAGAACAGACGAGCAATTGCCGGTGCTGTGCAACAGCTGCAAAGCAGCACCTGGGTGGGGTGTCCATGACATGGTCCGGGTATCTGCAGCTCAACCATACAGTAAGGCTCTGATATGTCTTTCAACCAGTACTTGCAATGACCAGGTATCAGAGGAAATGTAGATGTAGGTATTGAGGCCCTACTTAACGCACATTGCGCGTGTGATGTCTGTTTGTGATTTACTTGAAACAGTATGATTCTGAGCTCTCTTTGTTCATCGATTTATCCACCTTTCATGTTGATCATATAATAAGCCTTCTGTGGACACACATTGGGCCGTGCCCTGGAGATCACCTTCTTGGAATGGAGTGTATGAACTCCTTGAAGTTATCTTGAACGTGTGCTGTGGCTAGCTACTCAATGAGTGGATTTGTAAATTTTGATTCGTCTCACAATCAGAAAGAAGGCCGTGTCTCAACAGCAGAGTGACAGAATAAGAGAATGAGCAATACTGTATAATCCCGTAGCACCCATCTATGTAAAAGGGACACTTCACGAGCTCCCGGTAAAGTGGGTTGTTAATATGGTAGAGTCGACTGCACGTTGAAGTTGCCAACGGCGCTGAGTCAAAGCACAGGGTAACGTAGCAGCAGCAAGTCGCATATTTCGTCGAGCAACTTTAGATCTTATAAAATTCCCGTAGGTCCATGACAAAATGTGCATGCCACTGGATCAAGGCCGTCTCATAGTTACTGTAGCCTGAGATAATACAACTTCAACTGAACTGCATGGCTTTGCGGTATTTCTTATTTCGGATTTCGACCTCTATTACAGCACTAAGTTCCTCTTGACGCCAACGCCGAATACGCCCGGTGAAACGAATAGACTACATGACCACTGATATGTGTCATAGCCTCACCTTGGCACCAATACCCCTGCCCTCATACCATACAGTTTCTTTCCAGTTGCCCAGCCTTACTCCTACCACAGCCGCAGCGTCCAGCTTTAATTGCCCGCCGAGCGCCTTTCTGACTTTCTCATAACCATCTGATCCAAGTGACCACTCCACTGGCAGCCTTGGCGTCTGGGACTCTCCCGGTGGTGCAGCAAACGGATATTCGTACAGAATTTTGCCGACAGATTCGGTACGGTTGTAGAATGCCGTGGCATTTATATGCTCTATATACAGCGTATTGTGCTGCAAAGGCGACACTAGCGTGAATGTTGCCGATGAAGAGAAAATATGGAATGTTGCTTCGCGGATAAAGTGTCCCTTTTCACTTTCGTCGCCTCCTGGAACGTGTAATTTAGGTGCCACAACCGTGAGATTTAGTTTCGATAGAGCCTCTCCGAGAAGCGGCTGGCCGGGTATGCTATCCCTATGGGCACGAAGTGTGAGGGACGTGTTGAGGCCTGAGATATACTGTGATAAGAGCTCTCGGCCTAGTTCCTCGCCTCGATCGCCCCCCATTGATGGATTCCACTTTGCAGTGATAAGCAGATTGGTGTTTTTGCCTTTGATGACATCTAAGTTCTCGGCGGTGGCTGCGCCAACAAGAGAGCCGTTGCTAAGAACGTGTATGCTGAAGGCGGGGATGTGAGCGGTGTATGGTGTAGGGTTTGTGATGTTTACGCGGGCTTGCAAGGTTATCGACTTATAGGCAGTGTCAAGTATCTCGATTGCACCGACCTCCGGTTGCAAGCTGCCAATGGTCTGTCGTGGAAGAGCTGCGAACAATCAGCATACTGTCATGGGGATGTGTAAAGGAAGTTGACTTTTCGCTACAAGCTGCAAGTCCTACTGGACAGCTAAGGAGACTAACACTACCAAAGTGAAGACGGACGTTTTAATGGGATTTTTCCCTCTGTGGGAACATCCTTCAAGACAAGCTGTCCGAGGACGGTTTGGACCTTGACATCTACGCGAGCCTTGATGTCTAGAATGAGCTTCTTTCCGCCGAATAACATCGCTTGGATCACATCCGTTAGAACGTCGCTATCCGTCACGTTGAGAGGCGCATTTTTGATACGCGATTGAATCATCAGCTCTGCCTCGTGCTCGTCGGTAGCTGGTAGCTTTGTTGTGTTGGCCGCTTGAAAGCGCCGCAAGTTGAGCTCGCCTAACTTTTTGCCACGATAAAAGACATCGGAGGAGGCTCTGATGCCAGTCACGTTGATTTCAAAATTCATTTCAGAAGGTAAAGTTGCAATAACTTGGATCTCTCCAGAGACTGTAGGGTTCGCATCAGGGTCATCAGGATCCGCGAGAGGGTTCGGCATTGTGAAATGAACATCGGCTAGAGAGAAATTCCGGATGAGATTGTCGAATGTCCGGCCGGGGAAAGGTACGGGAACCGTGACGCTGGCCAAGATCTCACCCAGCCAGTCCGGTGTCTCAGAATCACTTTGCTTTTTCCCACGCACGAACACAGTAGCCGCCTCACCACCGAGGTACTGCTTGAGGAGAAGATCCAAAGGAGATGATTTCGAATCAGGACACTCTCGTGTTAATGACTCGGGCAATTCTCGGACCAGACCCTGGACATCGAGAACGACATCGGACTGGGGCCGGATGGTGACGGGACGAGTGACAGCATCAGCAACAAGGATATAGGGGTCTGACTGCCCACAATCTGGTACGAGAACTTCGAAGCCCAGCTCAGGGACGTCTACCTGGATCGGGTACTTGTTGAATGCTGTAAGAGAAATGTCGGCGGCCATAGCCTTTTTGTCAACACCGGGGATAGGAGTCTCGCGGAAGTTGACCTTGGTGATGTTGTATTCAGGAACTTCGGGCAATTTCTTGGCTGCACATCGCATTAGTCAATGGCTCAACTACCACAAGACAATTAAGAGACGGGCAAGTAGCATCATATTGTCCTCCTGTTTGAAGCTAGAAGATGGATTTTTCTCCAAAATACAAAGATGCAAAGGAACGGTAGAGGTATTGACCTTCAAATGTCAGATACTCGGACACGGTATGTGTGCCGAGGGGAATGATGCCTGACTTGATCTGTATGTCGGCGATGCCATGCACACGGAGTGTCCCGAGTCTTCCCTCTAGCCACTCGTTTGCAATTGCTCGAATACCCTCCGCGTCTCCGGGGACGAGATCGGCGACAAAGTCAACGGCAGTATTATGACCGTCCACGATGCTAATGGCCAGGGGTGGAACAGCCGCGGTGCCCAGCAACGTATTGTCATACTCGGGAAGATACACACTGATCTTTGTCTTCTCAGTCCCCAGCCCCCGCACGACCCAGGTAGCAACTCTCCCCACGCGTCTAACGTAATCATTCTTGACCCTCGATCCATCCAGTCGAAAGTTGGCTTGAATACGCGCGCGCAAGCCATCAGCAGTGATAGACTCGAGTGACAAATTGGTGGGCTCAAGAACGGCGGCTTCCTTAGCGTACTCTTCAACAGCGGCAGGAACGACGAAAGCAACAGAGATGACCCCAATGGAGAGCAGTGCGAGAATGATCATAGCTATGATAGAAGGCCACCGCCGAGACCTCGACTTGGAGGAAGTCTGCGTAGCCACGGACGCCGAGCCAGATGAGCTTGGACGCGGGCTCCCAACGGGCTCTGGCGAGACCTGGCCGTCGTATCGAGATGTTCCATTCTGGCTGGAGAGAAGAGGCGTGGATTCAATAGATGTGTCTGGTGTGGCGTTTGGTGATCTGGACCGCGCTGTCGCAGACAGCAACGGTGATCTTTCGGAGTCTGTCATTGCTTCGAATGTTTTGACAATGTACAGTCGAACAGATGAGCGTTTGAAGGAGAATGGAAAGTTAGCGCTGTCTGATAGACATGACCAGGCCGACCGAGACTCCAGAGAGTGGTCGGGACGGCGCCTGAACACACTGAGCGAATGCGAGTTTCCCGATCAGTACGTTAGAGTAACAGATGGATGGGCTTTGGCAATATGCAAATAGCTATACGTTGCGATGGAAGACAAGCCTCAATAAGTGAGGACAAGCCTGTCATTCAAGGAGGCAGGAATGGCAGGAAGTGAGTGAATGAGTGAGATGGATGATGACGTTCCGTCCACGACTCTGCCAAGCGGTTTGAGGCGGCATCACTTCAGGCAGGGTCACATGAGAGACCTCAGTTCAGGGTGGCTGAGGGCGGGACAAGTCGCTTTGTTGGGCAGCGTAGCACTGAGGTAGGTACCTACCTTACCTCCACAAGGGAACGGCGGGGGAAGCTGGTGCAGGTACAGCAGTACCGATACACTGTAGCGCAAACTCTAGCAGGCACATTCAAGACAGTGCAGCTGGCAGTGCAAGGCACAGTCTTGGCTTAGACGGAGCCACCAGACCTTGAGAGCGGGGCACTTATTTCTCAGGCCTGTGACTGGACAGATGAAGTATCTCAGAGTCACAACCAGCCTGCATCGCATCGCCGAAGAAAATATTCTCTCTCTGTCCTGTGCCAGGGTTGATGTTCATAAGAGAAAGAGCAAAGACCACGGGGTCTCAGATCCGTTGCTGCTCAATCCAATTGGACTTCTCATTGGAGTAACGCTGTTTGTTTGTTCAAGCGCGTGATCGCCTTGCTGCAGGAAGAAACCAAGGAAGAATATTTCTATTGTGCCAGTCCGCATAGACAAGTGACTTAAAGAGTTTTGTAAGTCATCGAGTCACTTCACATTGCAGGCTTCACCTCGCTCACCGCACTCTTCTCGCAAACCCATTCGAGTCACACCCTTTCTAATGACCATATCTAGGTACTCTGAATATCTCACACACATCTCAATACCACTCTTCTCATCAAGGTATTGACCATTGATTGTGTTTTGGACCGTATCAACGTTACACCATCAAGTTAAGTAACCTGAGTTACCAGCCGGCACTCTTCTTTGCCAACATAGACAGAATGATGCGCAAGGCGACAATAACGGCAGCTCGTTGCCTTCAAAAACGTGCTTATTCAAGCGCCGCGAAACCCAGGCATTTGATGTCAATTGGCGATCTGACAGCCGCTGAATTCTCCTCCCTGGTCCGAAATGCGGCTGCCCACAAGACAGCTATCAAAGGGGGCCAAGTGCCTGCAAGCCTGGATGGCGCACTGGCCGGCAAAACAGTGGCAATGATGTTCAGCAAACGAAGCACCAGGACCCGCGTCTCGACAGAGGCGGCGGTCGCTGCGCTAGGTGGTCATCCAATGTTCCTAGGCAAGGATGACATCCAACTCGGAGTATGAGCGCACTCTAGTAGGCCAGTATGTTAAAACCTGTCGCTAACGTGGTTTATAGGTCAACGAATCTTTGTATGATACGTCAAAGGTCATATCCTCAATGACTTCTTGCATGGTCGCCAGGGTTGGCCCTCATTCTGACGTGGCCAACCTGGCCAAGGATTCCAGCGTTCCCGTCATCAATGCTCTCTCGGACGATTTCCACCCTCTACAGATCATCGCCGACTTTCTCACCATCCATGAAGCGTTCCCCTCATCTTCGTCAACGGGGGGAAGCTTAGGCCTGGAAGGTCTCAAGATCGCCTGGGTTGGTGACTCAAATAATGTCCTCTTCGACTTAGCGATAGCATGTGTCAAACTCGGTGTTGACATCTCTGTTGCCTCACCCAGTGGCTACGGCATCCCAACTGCCATGAAGCAATTCGTCCTCTCCGCGGCATCTGACGTGAAGACACCTGGATCGCTGACGGAGACCACCGTCCCTGAAGAAGCGATCAAAGATGCTGACATCCTCGTAACGGACACGTGGGTGTCAATGGGCCAAGAAGCAGAGGCCAAGAAGCGGCTGGAAGCTTTCGCTGGATATCAGATCACGAATGAGCTTGCAAAGAGGGGTGGAGCGAAGGCCGATTGGAAGTTTATGCACTGCCTGCCGAGGCATCCTGAGGAAGTAGCAGATGAAGTCTTCTACAGTGATCGATCTCTCGTCTTCCCAGAGGCCGAGAACCGCTTGTGGTCTGCAGTCGGTATGTACGCATTTACTCACGGGAAAAGCTCCAACTAACTAGGCCACAGCTGCTTTGGAGGCGTTTGTGGTAAAGAAGGGAAAGATCGTATGAATGCAGCAGGTGAGAGTAGAGACGAGGTGAGGATGGTCATGAATGGGTCTTGAAATAGAAAAAATACCGATGTGATGAGATCAGGCATATCGGGCAAGCTGGAGGAGTCACGGAGTCAAACAACATCATGCAACACCAGGTTACATCGCGATCGGTTTGTGTAGAAACTTTACAAATCAATTAATTCAGACGCCTTTTAACCGGGCGGCAGCTGGCTAGCATCCACAACCTCATCCGCTTCCTTTACCAGAGTGTCCTCGTTGGGACCATACAAAGGAGAACGAGGCAGAGCCATCAATCCGGTCCTAGCAGACTCCAATATTCCAAACGGCGCAATAAGCTTCAAAAACGAGTCGATCCTAGAGGGCTTCGCAGACCTACACTGGGTTAGCGCGCGTTTTGCGTACAATTTTGGAGTCAGAAGAACACTTACACCTCCACTATGCAGCTGTTAGTGCTGATATCTAGAACCTTGCCTCCAAACTGGTGCGTGAAATAGGTAATGCTCTTCAAATGCTCGTGCTTTAAACGCAGCGCTTGGCTGGCGGCAAGGCTTCTGGGGTGGAAGTCGTTCGACGTCTCCTCGAGGCTCTGCTCGAACGCCTCTTGGCCTTCCTCCCCCTCGGCGTCAACAGCCGTGATTTCTCGGTGATGAGCGAGGAGCTCCTCAAAGTACTCGGGGCCAAGGATATTGATCTTGGCTAGAACAAGCTCACGCTGGACTAGCGGAGCATTTGTGTAATCGAGGACTGCCCAAACAGGAACAAGGTCTTCTAGTTGCCGTCGAGCCTGCTCTACTACGCCATCTTGACCAGTGAGGACAATTGTCATCCGTGAAAGATCCTCGACCTCGGTGCTGCATACGACGAGGGAGTCAATGTTGAAGCCACGAGCGGCTAGAATGCCAGACACTCGGGACAGCACACCGGGCTCGTTCTGGACCAAGCAATTGAGGATGTGTCGCTTCGGGGGCACCATCGATGGCGGGGGTGTCTCGTAGAGGATGTTGGATACGGCGGCCTGGGCCGACCAAGCTGACGGTGCATCGGTTGTTGGGAGAGGAGCCTGACGTCTTCGGAGTGCCTTGTAGGCAATTGCAGACGTGGAGCTGCTGGAGGAACTGTATCTCACAGCGATTGGGGCGATGACGGCTAGCGATGGCCGAAGCTGGCTGGAGGCTGCCCGCAGAGGCGGCGCCAGTAGGGAGAGGCTTCGAGATGCCATGGTCCAACCAATTGTGAGGCCAACGACTGTGCCCCGGGTCAGACTGATGCTTCTCTGGGCTCTCAAGGGTCGATTGGCAAGCCTGGGAGCATTAAAAGCAGAGGCGGGCTTCTTCTGACTCACCGTATGCTGTCGAGACTCGGCCTGGAAATTTTCAGAGATCGGAGCTTTGTTCGGAGCAGGGGACTTTCCCGTCCTAACACAGTGCGCCTGGCCCGTGCGTTTTCTCCAGATCGTTGAATTACCACCCTAGAGGTACTTGGGTACTTATCTCTAGGCCCTTAAGTACCTAGGTACCTACGTATAGGCAATTCAGCCTAGGCACTGGCTGTTAGTGTGCTTTTGGCGCTATGACCACCTGAGTTTAAACCGGGAACGTTTGCTTTTGCTTTTGCTCGCAGCCTTCTTCGTTTCGAGAGCTATCTGTCGAGGCCGAGTTTTCCCACCTTGTCGCACCAACCACACGATTGATTAGCCCCGGCGCATCCTGTTCAATCTGATAGCTTCTATCAGAGGAACACAGGCACAAGGAAACACGGCTGCTGTGCATGCGACATTCAATTTGGCAACAATTGTCAGGCTGACTAGAAGCAACGCGCCCACGAGACAAACCATCGCGACAATGGATGACACTGAAAGAAGAAGCGCTAAGCGGTCGCGATTCGACCAGACCGAACCAGAGCCTAAGAGGGCTTCGAGATTTGATCGCCGCTCAAGGTCACCTCCTGCGAGAAAGCATGAATCCATCCGCGAGAGAAGCCCTTTGAGAGATGCTGCCCCTCCCGCCCCAGACTCGCCCAAGAAGTCGCCTCTGGATCCCGCTGCCGCTGCCGGTATGTCATAGAAAAATACTGTCGTTAAATGGAGTCTTCTTGCTGACTGGGATGTCTAATAGCTGCCGCCGCCGCCAAGATCAATGCCCAGCTTCAAGCTCGAAAGGGGATTCAGCACGTCGATGTTCCACCGGTTAGGTCATCATCGGTCTCATCTGCTACCAAGCCTTCAGACGCTGGCGGCGCATCAAGTGGCACCATCAACGGTGAGATTTACATTGCAGATGGCGACTACATTAAGGACATAGAAGTCAATGATCTTCGAAACCGTTATCTCCTGACCAAGGGGTCTACTCAGAAAATGGTAAATTTGTTCTTGGTTATTCTTGCTGATTCACCCAGACTTCTGCCCACAGCTAGCCCTGGCTTCTGTCTCCTTCCTTTCTCGTGTTCTTGAAGTTGTATGGGAACAGTCTTGCTTACATGGAGCTTGATAGCTGGCACAAGGCTCCCCTCTTTGGCAATTGCTGACATCGGCTGCTTGATTTAGATTAAAGATGAGACCGGCGCTGGTACGCTCAACCTGATAACTTAGCCGTTTGAGAGCAAGAAGTTAACTAGATCTTCAAGATGTCACCACCCGTGGAAGCTACTACCCAGATAAGAGCATGGCCACTGCAGTCGTAAGTCCCGTCGTACTCTGTGAATATCCTATTCGGCAGCTCATGTGCGGAACCAGAATCCTCCTCTCTATCTGCATGTTACAAGTACATCGAAGGAGGGTCTTGAGAAGGCGGTCGAGAAGATTGAGGAAATGATGAAGCAGGAGCTCCCTCAGCTGGTCGACGAACGTCGCTTCCGACGCCGAGACCAAGAGCAAGTTGAGCGAGATGAATTCGGTCGAGTATAGCTATATTCCTTCCTCAAGCTGGGAAACAATCACTGACAATTGTCTCAGCGCAAATGGCCTGAAGAAAGAATTCCGATCACGCTTGAGTCAGTTCCGGGTTTCAATCTTCGAGCACAAGTTGTTGGTCACGGCGGCGCATATGTCAAACACATTCAACAGGAGACGGGTTGCCGCGTTCAGATCAAAGGCCGCGGCTCTGGCTATCTAGAGACGGCCACTGGGCGTGAGAGTGACGAGGACATGTATCTTCATGTCACGTAAGTGAAATACGCCTGCGATGCAGGATAACGTGCTAATACATTTGCAGCGGGCCGGATCCCAACATGGTCCAGAAGGCAAAAGAGCTCTGTGAAGACTTACTTGCCAATGTCCAGGAACAATACGAGGAGTTCAAGAGCCGGCCACCACGCAATTATGGTGGTTCCGGAGGCTACAGCGATCGACATGGCAGCCATTCTGGGTCATACCAAGGCTATGGCGGTTACAACTCTCCCGCACCAGGAGCCGGCAATTCCGCGTCCCCGCCCCCTGGAGCTAGCGGTACTCCTTCGACAACTGATTACAGTCAATATGCCCAATACTACGCGAACGCAGGCGCTGGAGCTAATGGCCAGGATCCTTACGCAGCGTATGGTGGCTATGCTGGGTAGGAACTCCTGTGCAAACCGAATAGAGGCGACAAGCTAATCTACTCTCAGATATGTTCAGTATTACCAGCAATACTACGCAGCTGCTATGGCTGCTCAGCAGCAGCAAGGCAGCCCTGCCCCTCCAGGTGCTTCGGCGTCACCTCCACCTCCTCCGAGTGAAGCTCCTCCTCCGCCACCACCATCTAGCTCAGCTCCGCCTCCGCCTCCAGGAGGAGGTAGCTACGGTGCAGTAAGTAGCCCTTGATTGTCTTCATGGGCCAACTACTTAATTGTTAAGCAGGTTCCACCTCCCCCAGGCCTGTGAATATTAATTGAGATCACTCAAAGCGGAGAATGCTCACAGCATGGTAGTGAGAAACCCGGTCCGCCGAATCAGGGGGGACTTAATGCAGCTTTGAAGTCTCTTGATTAAAGAGGCTGAGTGTGGTGGACAGGTATGAAGGTAATCGTTACGTATATAGTTAAGCTTCAAGTTGTAATATGTAGGAAAATTGCACCAAAAGATTCACCGTGAGGTATCCCAGGTAATTTGCGAGTCTGAACACCTGATGTAAAATTGACAGAGATCAAAATTGAGGCTGAATTGGTGGATCTAAATTTAGTGGCTCCCGCTGTAGACTAAGCATCTACAGTACAGTACCTGGGCAGGCCGGCTCTGTAGATAAGATCTTAGTTGCCCCAGGTGGGGTCATTTTCCCAACTTGAAGCTCCCAGTGACCGATAAACGCCAAACCTCCACACTGAAGACCTCCCGACACCCCCTTCATGCCAGCTTGCCATCATACCCTCGAGGCTCCTCGCTAGGAATTATGATCCGCCGTCTGCCATGAGCCATCAGCGTTACCCGTCTCATGATCCTGTCAAGGAACCTCATTCGATTTCATTGAAAGTCTTGCGGTAAGTGTCCAGGGCGGTTTGACGACGAAGCTACCCTCCAGCCCGCGACCTTGAGCTAACAATCAACCACAGGCTTTCTCGACCTTCTCTTGTCGCACAGCACCCCCTGCAGCCGCCGTTATCTACACCGTCCGCTCACTCAGCACCTTTGGCAGCATCTCTGGCCTACAGCTCCAATGGCGGGACCAATCCCGAGCCGTTCATCTTGAGCCCTATCCTAAACCTTCCTCCGTCCTTTGGCTCTGCCTACGTCGGAGAGACGTTCAGCTGCACACTCTGTGCAAACCATGATGCGCCAGAGACTGATTCGAATCTGGAGGGAGGACCCACCGCCCCCGCTGCTAAGCAAATACGGGATGTACGCATCGAGGCTGAGATGAAGACCCCGGGGTCTGCGTCCGCCGTCAAGCTGGATCTTGGCCCTGGTGCCGCCGACGCCAACAGCAAAGGGGTGGACTTGACACCGGGGCAGACATTACAAAGGGTAGTCAACTTTGATCTCAAGGAGGAGGGAAGCTACGTGCTGGCTGTTACCGTCAGCTATTATGAGGCAACGGACACGAGCGGCCGGACGAGGACATTTAGGAAGCTGTATCAGTTCATATGCAAGGCCTCGCTCATCGTCCGAACAAAAGCCGGCCCGCTAGCTGCTACGGAAAAGGGGGGCAGGAAATGGGTCCTCGAAGCGCAGTTGGAGAATTGCAGTGAGGATACGATTCAGCTGGATCGAGTTCTGCTAGACTTGGAGCCCAGCTTGTCATACACAGACTGCAACTGGGAGTCAAGTCGGGGCTCCAGGCCGTCAATGCACCCTGGTGAGGTCGAGCAGGTGTGCTTCGTTGTTGAGGCGCCCGCTCAAGGACAAGAAGGGGTTAAGGAGCAGGATGGACGAATCACGTTTGGAACGCTCGGCGTTGGTTGGCGGAGTGAGATGGGGAATCGAGGCTTTCTGTCAACAGGGAAGCTTGGAACTCGGTACGTTTAAGAAGAGACGCGGGAAAGAATAAGAAGTCATGCGTCTACTGGCATCTTCTTCCCGTGCTAAAACGCAACTACTTGCTACGAATCCGCATGCGTTGATGGCCGCGTGGAGGTCTTTTGAGCCTGAGAAATCGGTATATCTCAGCGTGAAGCCTTCGACTGGGCGTAGCTCGTTACAGGAAGCAGCCTTCGTTCAAGTTGGTACAGATATCAACACAACTCACTGTTGTATTTCTATTGCTGGATCTTACAATCCCGTCTTCTGGGATGTCTAGGAGTTCTCTTTCCACGGTGTTGACGAAAACATGCCGGCCGAAAGAATAGGTCCAACAAAGAACAGAGGACGAGATTTTAGGCGTAAGGCTTTTCTGTAGTGCCGCATGCCCCTACCGGACTACTCACAGGACGGTCTCCCTTGAGAGAACGCCTACCCCAAATGGTGGCATGTTTTGACATGTGATTCCCAAGGGATGGCCATCAATGGGTGTTTCTACTACGTTGCATCTTGCATGGGCATCGTGGGTTGTATAATACAGATCTTCAGGAATGTATATGGCATCTAGCTTCATGCTTGCCTTTCTGAGTGCTCAAGAGCTTTCGGTCTAAGACATGTCAAAATATAAGGTCAATTGTCTTTTCTGGAAACGCCTGCTAAGGCACATTCTCGCAACTAGTCCCGAAATTAGTGAAGATAGGTACGTGTACCTACTCGGAAAGTCTGCGTGTATATAAGAACAGAGAATTGGCATGGGTTGGTCTAGACCGGGAAGCTAAGTAGAAGCAACCCTGACATTCTTGCTGAGGTTTTACTTTGACACACGCTATAGCACGTAGTTTGGGCATCTACACAGACGAATTGGGAATAAAGGCATGCCCCATACCTTCAGCCGCCAATCTGCGTTACGCTGCATATTGAAGCCGGCTTTCTAAGGACAGCTGTGGTTTGCTATGCTCGCTATGTAAATTCGATGGGCTTAGAAAGTGCATACCTAGGCGGTCAGCCACCCGTGTTGGCGGACCCGCGGGATCCCAGAAGAGGCATCGGGATGCACACCACTGTCTCAAAAATGGTGCAGATGCAGGCACACGCCGGAAGCCCTGTCAATACGTGCTCGTTGTGTGACATATGAGAATATTTCCGACAAGGTACCATATTATATGTCTGCTGAGTGCCAACCAGTTCCATAACGTGAGACCAGCGGTAATCAAGTTCATGGACGCAGTCCATTGTCGTTTTGTCCAAAGACTTTTTGGCATATTGTCCCTCAAGTTCGGATTCAGGGGCAAGGATCAAGGATGGTCGCGTAGATGCGAGGCAGCCTCGTGGTGGTTCCGTGCCGTACCTTGTCTCAGTCACTTGGCGGCGAAGCTAGCAACGTGTTGTGAGTTGCGTGGAACGAGAGAATATTTCGATTTTCAGAACAAGAATTCTCGGCGCAGACTTTTGCCTATTTTGTTTTATTCTATCCTCCATGAAGCAATGCTGAGTGAGCGGAACTAAATAGGAAACTACCTTGTGTCAGTTACGACTAAATTGGCTCTCGACATCTATGGAACGATATGACATTTTCAGTGTCCTGTTCTCCGCCTAGATTTACATCCAGTATTCAGGCGAGTAAGGCATTAGGATCAAGGCCGTAATTGTACTGTACCTGCTTCAAACGCTGGCCACGGCATACTGCAGGTCCCCGTCCGAACAACACCACTCGGCGAATGGCACGGATGATATATTGAATGGGGTAGAGAGCCTATAAGGGAAGTCCTCTATTACCGCTCGCTACTGGCCGTCCTGCCCTGACCACTCACCAGATTCGGCGGCTTAAGTCGATGGGCCTTGCAGGGGGCGACCCTGGCGGATGGGTTGCACTTTACGAAAGGAGACTCGTGCAGGCCAGGACCCAGGCGAGCCAGGGCCGTCGAGATGGATGAATGCATTGATCGACGACAAGATGCCTGGCTTGGGCAAGTCTGTTGCTGCACAGCACTTTAGTCTACTGCTACAGCGTAGCTGGCTGGGCATCAGGAATGGCGTCGACTCCGCGACTTCAACTCCGGCTAGAACAGCGCGAGGATACAAACAGGTACTATGCCAATTCGTATACATATGTAAAGAAGACAATCTTCTTCGCCCATGCGGAACCCCGCAACGACTCGAAACTAGGTGCCATCACAAGGTATGGACCAGTGCTATACGCCAAATTGGGACGTACTTTTAGTGTTCATGTGTAAGTGAGTGAGATCGCTCTTCAAGGCTAGACGCCAACTTCCACTTCACGTGAATCTGGGTTGTCCCCAGCCGCGGCTTGGACCAAGGAGACAATGCAACAGATATGCAGAGGTTCTCCCGTGGTGGTTTTGACAAGTAGCACAGTTTCAATACTCGAGTTGGGAGTGTCAGGCCTGGAGCATGACTATACGCCGACCTGTAAGGTGAAGAGTCGCTTGACCAAACTGCCTAAGAGCAAGGGTATACAGCGTGGGTGCAGATTCACTTCACTAAGATCTCCCCACCCATTGGATCAGGTAGAGCAAACTGCATGACATGTGCGTACCGGTTATGAACCTTAGGTAGAGAGCAAGTGCTTCTCGAGAGACTCTATGGTTCCGGAAGCTGCAATGAATCATTAATCAATGCCTGACAGAGGCACCGGGCCACCACAAGCTGGAAAGACCTGGGCTCACAGCAGCTACCTTAGGTAGGTACGGGCTGAAGTGTTTGCATGCCCCTTATCTGAAGAGAGGGTTGCCTTGTAAGTAAGTGACTACCTAGGTATGGTGGGTTCTCCTTACTCGTGCCGCCGCCTCTCCCTCCATCATTTCGCCTGTATATGCTGACACCACTGCAAACTGATACTTGTGAACCCAAGGGAAAGGAGGTATGCCAGCCTACAAGTGACTTATAGACTCTACCAATCACCATAGGGCAAATGGTTATTTGATAGGTGTTGGGATGAGGGACATTACATTCTGGGGGGGTTAGTGGGGTGTGTATCGCACATGAAAATCATTCGATAATCGTCGCCCTACTCTAACTTCTAGACAACCCACAACCCCCCTCAATCCTCAATAGAAGATCTTGCAACCCTGGCCCATTCCTCGCGTAAGAGGTACTTGGGTATAAACGGTCTGAATCCTCCTTTCGTGAAGTGGCAAGAGTGCAATATTGTATAGTGTACAGTACAGTAAGAGACCCCGGTGAGCAGTGAGCACAAGAGGAAGGCCGGCCCTGTCCCATCCCGGTGCAGAGGTCTGATCCGATCCATTGGCTGACACTTGAAGCTGCTGCTGGCTGATTTATCTCACTCACCTCTACTCTCTACTTCAGCCTACCTAGATACCTACACGAGGAGTGAGTGTTCAGGCATTGCCAGTCATATCACATATCACCCACATCCTGACCAAGACGGACGGATGAACGAACGAATGAATGCATATGATAGATTATAAGTAGGCGTAGGTGCCTTACCACCTCCTCCATGGGCAGCAGTCCAGTCTAGGTAGTCATCCAGATATCTGACCTACCTACCTACTGTACCTACCTACCTGCCTACCTCCCTCTTATCTATCACTACAGGAAGCACTTGGCAAAACAGACGAGCAGAGTGACTTGTACGATGAAAAATGGTGAAGAACATCAAATTGAGAGGGGAAAGAGGAGGAGGGAAAAAAAAAGGAAAAGGCGGCGTGTGCCTTCAACCAGGTACTGTACCTTACATGCATGTCTAGCGGGAGGCACGCTACAGCAGTTACAGTGCTGCGTAGTACCTGCCTGGGCACCTAAGTAGACTACTACTGCATACTTGAGTACCTAGGTAGGTATTTTACAGGGGATGCCGTACGCGTGTACGCACAGACAAGGCCCGCCTCTTGCAGTACGAACCAACCCTGGAACCCTACCACACCACACCACACCCCAACTAAGGTACCGGTACCCCCCTCTCGAGCCCCCCAAGCCCCAGGCATGCTAGCCAGCCCACCTACCTAGGTACTGCGTAGCACCTCTTAGCCAAACCAAAAATCCTAGACTGATGTGAGTGCGTGCGTGCGTGCGTGCGTGCGTGAATCAAAAGACGGGACGCCCCATCCATCCATCCATCTCTCTCGCTCTTCATAGTAAGGAAGGCTTCTCTTTCAGGTTGATTGATCTGGCAGGATAGATACCTAGGCAAGGTAGGCAGTTTCACTTACTGCACCGCCGTCTGCCGTTCCACCTGCGACCTACCTACCTACCTATCTACCGTATTCTGCAAGGCCATCGAACAAACACCATCACCGCCGTCACCTCCAAGCAACACCACCCCGTCCAGCATCTCAGGACAGCCCGCCGCCTGCTGCTGCCGCTGGTGGAAAAGTCCCAATGAAGGCTTAGGTGTGCCTGGAGGTGCCTTTTCTCCTCTTCCTTTTCTTCTTCCGTCCTCCTTTTTTTTTGGTTTTGGGTGCTGTTTGTTGTCTTTGCTGTCATGGAGAGCTCCTCGACTCCTCTCGCCGACTATTTTTGGATCGCCGGTGTAGAGGCCATTTCGTACAATGATGCCCCGCAGCCCTCCCCTCAGCTCGACGAAACCATCAACGAAGACGGCGAGCCAGACACTGCCGAGAACAATGCCCCCTCGGCCACCAGGGCCACCGCCCGTCATTCCCGCCAGAGCTCTCTCAACCGGCTGTCCAAAATCTCCAGCGAGGCCCGCAATTCCGTGCACACCCTCGACGAGCTCGACGGGAACACCAGGAGCAATCGAAGCAGCGCCACCATACGACCTACCGCTCCACAAGCCGGTCACATCTTCAATGGCATCCCCCACGACCCCTCCATGGGCGACTTCGATTTCGACAAGGCCCTGCTGAAGTTTGCCGTCGAGCGGGAGAACTTCCTCGACGATCTTAGCTTCAGTGCCGGAGCCAAACTGCAAGCTCGACCCCCAATGGTCAACCCCCGAGCCGAGAGGATCAAGGCCGAAGATGGTGACCTCAGCGGCCGTAAGAGCCCCCTGCGGAGCATCAGAGGCAGTATCCGTCGCAAGATGAGCTTCAGGGACATGAACAGCATGCGGAAGCAGCCTACTGCTCCCAAGGCAGGTGAGTCGGCCTACCCCCCACGATAACACTATATTGTGGTCAATCATGTACTGACTTGCACCCTCTAGCTTCTATTCGGACTGCAAAACGTCTGAGCAACTACAACTCTGTGATTCCTCCCCCCGAGCCGCTCAATGCCGACCCGAACATGCACCCCCTCAAGAGGCGCTTCGAGCCCGTCCTCCTGGACAGATACCCGTCGAGGGATGCTACAGATGAGATCCCGCGGAGGGGTAAATTCCCTGACTATGTGCCAATGTTCGCCTTCCCCAATGACATCCAGATCGTCTCATCGGACGATCGTCCGCGGTCGACCTGGCACGGCTTCACCATGACCTCCGATGACAACTCCAAGATATATGGTATTACTGTTATCGTGTGGACTGCCCTGAGTGCAGATGTTGCCGAGGACGTTGAGAAGAGATGTGAGCAGTGGCGGCAGAGGCACATGTCGAATGAAGAGAGGGAGCTGGCCGCCAGCCTTGGCGGCAGGCTCGCTAATGAACGAGCCCACCTCTCCCAGCTATTGGCAAAACTCCCTACAGTGCCGTCCGGTTCTCCAGCTCGAGAGACGCTGGACGATCAGATCAGCTCGGTGGAGGAGAAGATCACCCTGATGACTGAAATGCTGCGACCCCTGAGACACGGAGCAGCCTCCAAGATCGATGGGCTCACAGCCGGTGAAACGGGCTTGTGGGTACCGAGAGCCTACGGTGTGCTCGGAAGAGACGCCACCAAGATGGCCTTTTGGAAAGAATGGCTTCGGGCAGTGACGGTCCCCATGACTGATGGTGCTATTCTGAGAGTGCCCCCCAGTTCCCCTAAGGTGGGACGGTGGCAGCCCCTGGAGCGCTACATTGTCAACTTGTGCACGGAGGCATTCAGTCCCCTCAGTTCCAAAACACAAGTTGAGCTGGGAGTCCGAGAACTCCGTCTTTACGCTCGAAAGGAAGCGCTCAACGAAATCCCAGGCTCTCGGAATATCGATCTGTACGCTTTGTTTCGGTGCCTCTCCCTTGATAACATCATGGCTCTGTTTGAGTATGCGATGTCAGAATCTCGCATCATATTTCTCTCTTCTCACACGGCAATGCTACACCTAGCCTGCCATGCTCTCGTCAGTCTGCTGTATCCCCTGAACTGGGCTAGCATCTTCATACCAGTCTTACCGGCAAGATTGTTGTCTGCTTTGGACGCCCCGTGCCCGTATATTGTCGGCGTTGAGAGGCGCTACGATGATCTCGTTCTCCCCGATGACGACTACGTTCTTGTCGATCTAGATCGTGATACGATTGATGCAACTTCGCAGCCAGTTCGTCTACCCCGGCAACATCGTCGAAAGCTTTACTCCTTGTTGCAAGTTGCCGCACCGCACAAGCTGAGATACGGAGTTACAACAGGGGCTCCTCCTTACGCAGTCGAAAGCTTCCCATATGATGCATTCTCAGCGGAAAACGACACACTATTCAATGCCAGCCCGCCGGCTAGTACGCTTGGGAAATGGGTCTCACAGAACTCTTCGACGTTTGGAGAGCCAGATTCGCCAGATCAAATGCGCATCCCCATTTTCAACGCCTTCTCTCACTCTAAAGTGGACCACACGAAGTCGGAACGGCCGCCCACGGGCAAATCAGCCAGTCCTCCTTCATCTGTGTCCCCCATTTCGACCTCATTCCCTCCTATGCCGACAACTCCAGTGTCACGTAGTGATTCGGGGTTTGCTTTCACGACCACTTTGAGGGAAAAGAAATCTGGCCATTTCGACGACCGATCTCGACGAAGCTCTTCGTTTGGTGTCGATAAGCACGCTCCTCTACACAAACCCAGCTTGCCTTTCCTCAATGGCCACGGGCCTAGTTTGTCCATCTCTGCTATTTCTGTAGATTCGCAGTCATCATATGGTGGTTATGCCCCATCCACATATGCGCAATCTACTCTAGCCGCCTCAACGGTAATGCCTAATCTGCTAATACAGCCGGTTCGAAACACCGAGACGACGATCTGGGTCGAAGGCCATTGCTTCAACTGGAGCACAACCGAAGCATCTTCTCCATGCTCGATCTGTGATGATCGCTCGGACGGTGACGGAATGTACAAGTGCACAGGTTGCAAGTGTGTAGCACACAATCGCTGTCTTGCTACTGTCTGTCTGGTATGCCCAGAGGCGTTCCATGCTGACAGAGTTCGAGCCGCTTTTGTTCGCTGTCTTGCTAGTCTTCTCTACACGTATCGGAAATATCTTGGACGGCCGAGTAGAGATCAGAAATCAAATGGCCAGCTTTATGCATTTGACATGGATGGATTCATCAGAAGCCTGCCCTATGATCAGCAGGAGTATGCTACCATGATGAAGGAGACTCAGGGTAAGAAATCGCCACCTCATTGAGCTTGAGAATATAGATTAATATGTGATTATAGCATTTAATGAGTTCATCCATGAGAGGGAACGGCAGTCCTCTACAAATCCGAACATTCGGCTTTTTGACGAGATCCTCGTTGCCAAGAAGGCGCGTGGCCGGCCAGGTCTGTCAGTTGGGCTTTCCCGGCTGTCTACAATCCGGGCCAGCCACGGAGCCTCAAACTCGTTCATGGGCCCAGGCAAGCAGGTGAAGCCATCTGGCTATCTTGCTGATACCAGCGACCATATATGGAGGACTGCCTCGGTGCCTGTGCCCAATGCAAAGTTTCCAGGCGACTATCGTGCTGTGACTACAAGAATTCCTGCCAGACTGGACCCGTCATTGATGAAGGAGCCGCGAGCTATCCAAGGCATTCCGAGACCAGAAGGGCGAGGCACCAAGGGATTCATCAGAAAACAAGTCCCTAGCATGCTCGGCACCACTCCACCCAACGGCATATAACACTATCAACCGCCACTTGTGTACCACGATGTAATCCCTGCTTAGGTTTTGCATCGGTGCACCGCACTTACCAATCCTCCTTACAACACTCCATCCCGGCAAAACCGGATTCATCTTTCAGGCTCTCAGCTGTCATAGACAGATGCCGCAGTCGTGGCAGAATCTTACATAAACGGGGGGGTTGAATCGAAGCTGACGATATGTACGATACAAAGCATTGTAATTTAGGACTCGCATGCACTTTGGTCTTTGTAGGGGTTTTTACAAGAGGATCTCATGGAAGCCCGGCAGGCAGGCAGGCAGACTTGAATTATACAGGATGCATTGAAGGAAGGTTTTGTTTTCGGATCGGCATTGGATCAGGTAGCTAATCTGCCAACCTGTAGATGAAGGGCACCATCTCAAAAGATGAAAGTGCATCAGTTCCGAGCCTTGTTCGCCTCATTGCAAATGTTCATGCGTGTAATATGGGTCCAGCGCAAGATCTGATGTGATATTATATGCCTATCGCAGGGAAGTAATATGATCTATCCCTCTGGGTCTTCGTTTTATATGACCAGCGCCTCTCCTCTCCTCCAAGCGGCCGCACATGTTCACACCCGTCATACCGGTGGTCTCGCAGCCAGTGCTTGTTTCGTTTCATGATGAATCCATTCCGAACATATCCCTTTTCATCTCAAAACGCCGACGCTCCAATAAGCAATTCCATGAAAGCCCCTCCTGACTTTGTCACAGAGGAAACAGTATCGTGATCCACAAAACTCACGAGTTCTGGGTCCCCGTACCAGCATCGTTTTCCCTTGGCTTCGGCTTCGGCACCTTCTCGTACGCATTCGGGCTCGGCTTCCGCTTGCCCGACCCGTCCTTGTCCCCCTTCGGCCGGCCGCGGTGGTTGTGTCTGTGGTTACCGCAGTCGTGCGAGTGGCCCTTCTTGCCGCCTCCTCCGGCCCGCTCGCGGCGTCCGGACGACGGACCGCCGCCGTCTGAGTCGGAGTCCGAGGAGGAGTCTGAGTCTGAGGACGACTCGTCGCTGGACTCGTCGACGCCCTTGGGCCGGTGGTAGATGCAGCAAACTGTGCAAGAGCTGAAGTCAATAGTTGTTCGAAACAGGGACACAATGTGCCTTAGCGACAAGCAGGATCATGACCATACCTTTTGAGCTTTTCCTCCCTAGGCCCTCGTTATCTACCACATTGTCTGCCCATTGTACCGAGCGGGTGGAAGGCGCATGGGCGCCGCGCAGGCGGAGGATCGCCTGTGTCTGTGTCTGTGTCGTCGTCTGCGTCTGCGTACCAGGCTGAGCAGTGGCCGGCTGCTGCTGCGCCGGACCTTGAGCGAGCGACATAATGAGTGTTTGCGGACGATGATAAAGAGCGGTGCCGGCGTTCGGGTGCAGGACTACTTCACGTTGAAGTCTCGTTTGCTTGCGCCGACGATTTTCTAGGATAGCGTTTTGTCCAAGGACCCTGCGCGAACCGGCTTTCGTATACCTGGGCGTCTTGGTGATAGAAACGTCGAGAATCTGTAAGCAGTGTGAGCTGGAAACTTGGTTAATTCGGTGGTGTGACGGGTTGCAGGAAGTGATGTTTGTTGGTTAGGTAAGGCACGAGGCGAAAAGAGGCAGGTTGCCGGTCCCTCATTGCCCCACGTCACTGCCGGTTGAGCACCGAGAATGCCGCCCCTTGCGGCGCCGCTAGACGGGCAGGATCGGCGTAAATTCAAGGTCGATCGGTCCCGGCACATATATCACACGCACAACGAGAAGAGGGCACTTGTTTGCTACTATTGTTTTCGTCGTCTAGAGTGGTATCACTTTCAATTCTATACCGTACATTATCTATACTGTACACAGATGCCCTCATCTGTTTTGAATTAACAGCCCAAGACACATGGATAAATGCGCCCTTTTCATATTATACATGACTACGCAGCCAAGATCGTGACCATCAGTCCTCGGACCCAGCCGCAACAGCTGATTCTCTCCTGCGCCCTAGCTTGTCATTCTTCTTATCTCTCTTCATACTCTTCCGCGGCCGTGTTCTTGTAGATTGCGCCGTCCTCCTGGGTTTGTTCAACAGCCAGGCATTCATTGGCGGTCGGACCTTGATGAATCGACCCTCTGGGCTGAATACATCAATGATAGGCCAATGGGGTTCTGCATCTCCCTGGGAGCTTGCTGGCTCAGATCTAGGCTCAGACAAATCTAGTGTCTGAAGCAGCTCATCGCCACTAGCTGTTTTAATGACTGATGGCTTGCGAGGAGCAAACAGATCCTTAGTTCGCACTTGCGCAACAACCTCAACCCAGCCGCATCCTTCTATTAGTATGTCGGCAGCAAGAACTCGATATGGCAGGCGGTCCGGCTTGATATTGACTGCATCACGCCGGGTAATGGGGCCGGCTCGCTGTTTCGTCACATCCCATCGCAATGGAAACGACCCTGCAAGTTTGGTTTTTTCGCCGGTCCCGGGTACAGCAATGTTTTCGACGTTGACTTCCCCAGTTTGGTTCTGGATGCTGATGGCCTTCTCCGTGGAGGTTAGGTGAGCTTTGATTGGGGTAAATGCATATGAAAGAATGATCAGGTCTGAGGTCCGAGGTGTCAAGCGGATGAAGCCGCCGAGTAAGAGTGAACGCCCGGGCTTGATTACTTGCTGTTCCGGAATGATACGAGATTTCATGATCAAAGAGGACCTGTGCTCTTCTTTGACATGCAACTCGAGGTTGCTTCGGGAGAGACCCGGTAGATCGATCAGCTCACCCCTGCCATTGCCAAATGGCACCCGGATTGGGGAAGCCGTCGTCCCCGGGAGAGAGGAGACCACAGGCATGGTAGGATAATTTGTCTCAGGAGGGACCGGCGGCAATAGAGAAAAGTCGTCTAATCTCTCCTCGTTCTCGGATTTACCAGTCTCCTCTGTAGGTTCAGGTATAGGCTCTGTGGCTTCGCGAGGGAAGACGTTGACGGAGATCTCGTGCTTTGGTGGTTCCCAGTCCATTCGCCCTTTCGGAAACACGGCCTCGAAAAGCTGGCTTTTGCCAACATTGACCTTACCCACCATCCAACCTCCGCCTCCTCGTTTCCAGATATCCTCCTTCAGCTCTTTGGTCCACCAGCTTCTCTTTGCGCTGACACACCGTACATTTCCAAGGCGCACATCGCGCGCTCGTCTTCCCAGAGCCTCTCGTAGCGTCTCCGTCAAATATGGCATGAGAGAGTCGACCTGCTCCTTTAGCGGGGCGAGGAGGTCCGACCTTGTTATGATGAAGCTCAGCTCGGTCTTTTTATTGGCGTAGTATTTCCCCCGTCTTGAACGTCGGTTGTGTGACCGCAGCGGCATGACGTCGAGCAGCGAATGTATAGATGGGAGAACGGACATGGGGAAATCGGCAGCATCGACGACGTGATAGACATGGTTGTACTTGTATGGTGACTCCTCAATCGTTTCGTGCAGGGACTCGATGCATGGGTGATATATCGGATTGCCAACTTGGTGATGAATCAGGTTGTGACACCGATCACAAAGGGGAGCAGCGGGCTCAGCTATTAGGAAGTGTCAGCAGTTAAAAATCAAAGAGACAATGCACGACATTCTTACCAGCATCGAGAACCTTGAGGTCACCATCTTGTGGCAAAGCCAGGAGATCTTTAATGTCCACTCCTACTTTGGCCAGACTTGCATGGTCCGCATTGCGGAGGACATCTTGCAAGACCTGGTCCTCCTCCCTCACGCGCTTCTCCGGTTTGAGCAGCCCGAGGTAGGATCGAACAGCCTTCCTGTCCAAACTAAAGTAGCCAGCCTGGCCTGCATTGGCACTCTGCGACAGGGCACCACAACCGGAGCACTGCAAGGGCAGCGCTCTCGCGGGGAGTTGTGGAAGATCAGTCTGGATTTCGTCTGTACTGTGGCCATGCTCGAGGTGCAACCTTCTCGACTGCAGATGAAAGCTCTGCTGGGGGGGACGGACGAAACAATGCGCCACAGCCACAGCAGGACAAAGAAACGGTGCAGGCAGAGCAGCTCTGTTCTTGTCGATGCTGAGAGCTCTCCGCAACCAGCCGGACCTCAAAGCCCTAGTTGCGTGCATTGCGAGAGCGCAAAGCAGATATAGTGGTTGGGCGTGGGTTTTTCTAAGAAGTTATCGTCAAGTCGCAAGATTGCGCCTGGAAATTTCAGTGGTCCTGATAGTTATCGCTTTGATGGCCATTGCCGGCCGGCAAGCTGAAGTAAGCTAAGATAAGGTACTTCACCTCACACAGAACATTGGTGGAGGAGACCGTACCCTCAAGACCACTGAGATTGCCGCAGCGGCAGGGCTACCGATTGGTCGAACAAAATTTAGAACTGGACTGCACTGAACTGACCCGTCGTCGCGATCAATCGAACCAGCTCCCAATCGAAGTTTCCAAGCGCCCACCTTCTCCCTCCTACCATCGCCAAGAGGGTCGCCCATGAGCTCTGCAGCTCATAGTCATTCAAGATGGTGGCCGTAGGACGGCGTATGAACAAATTGAAAGCTGTTCGTTCCCCCCATTGCTCCCTCCATCACGAGACTTTTCTTTTGCTAACTGTGCCAATAGCAGGTATATGCCCCTCGAAGCACCGCCCCGAGACGGCCCATTGACCGGGGATATCGATCCAATGTCGACTCGTACTGACATATCATGCGTCTAGCTTCTATCAATACGGCATGGCCCCGGTGCTGCCGTCCTGCCGACGGGCATAACACGCATACACATGGAGTTTGCAGAGAAGTGGAATGAGGGACACTACGGACCACGGTACGCCGATGGGTTTTTGCTTGATCAGCGTCGATCAGAACTACTGGATATTGACAGTGTACGCAGTAAATTCTGGAGGTTATGCCTACCGCGCCTGAAATACTGGAATCCCGCCATCCCCATGATCGTCAACCGCACAAAGGACCAGGCCGGCCCCGCGACAATGAGCATCTACTTCCGCCAAGGATCAGCCGATGCCACCAAGTCCTCAAAACATCAACTGCCGTCATCCGCGGAAGGACTGTCCAAGGCGCCGTCACCGGAGGAGGATGAGAAGGTCGTCACGATCGACATGAAGAGCCAACACTCGGACCAGATCCTCAAGGAGTTTCTCGAGAAGACAGGCGCAGTGCCCGTGGTCCCTACTCCTCAGGAGGAGATAGAGATGCAGGAGGTCCAGGAGCGTAAGGAGAGGGGCGACATTGACCGAGAGGTGATGCTGAAGTATCTAACGCAGCAAAGGCGTGAGGCAGCTCTCATGGCTCAGGCAAGAAACGAGGCGGCTGCGATGAAGGCTGCCATCTAAGGGCACGGCATAGCTTGCCATGTATAATCTCACACATGTATAGGAACCCTCTGTAGAGTATGAAATGACTTTCGAGCGTTGGCATCATTGGCTTCCATTCGCCTCATGTCAATCTTGACCAACGTTGCTTGTGCATGATGAAGTTACTGGTGCATGACCAGACCTGTGGAAATTCGGTGACATAAAACTGCATCACATCACAGACAATGGTTTCAACGAGGACTTGATCCCATTACTTTCACATCAGTCCTTATATTTACTTTGAGCCTGAGGAGACACGCTATCGGTCTTATTGTCATGACATCCAAAATATTCATAGAAGCAGCTCCAGGCATGATTCCCGTCCCGGTTGGGCAAGCTTGACTCGCCTCAATACAGAACGCCAATAGTCGCCGTCTTAATGCTGTCGCTCATGTATCGATATCTTACTTGAGCCCAAAGCCTTCACTTTCATAGACTGCGTCCCACAACATCTTTTCCAGCTGGACCCGACTTGTATAACGCCATAATGCTAATGTGTTGAAACACGTCCGTGCTGTTGGATATCTCCCACAGTCATCGCCAAGACAAACGACCCTGATCGTCAGCGACGCTGCCCCCATTGCCGGGATGCGGTCGCTACCTGTTATGAATAAAAGGAGCTTTCGCTGATCCTTGGGGTTTGCTGCCCCAAAGCTTTGCCAAAACCACTCCACCGTTGGTTCTGACGCGTCAGGATCACGGGCTCCCCAGCCATCATAATCGGCTGCAATACGAAGGGAAGCAATATCAAGAGGCTCATCGGATCCCCGGACAAGGAGCTCAATCTCTTCCGGCCGGAAGAGCGACAGGGCATTACCGCCACAGACCGTGAAGAAACCGCGCTTGAAAGGCTCGAACTGGCGTGTGACGGCACCATCCAGTAAATAGCGTACATAGAGGTCGACATATTCGCGCCGGTTGGCATTTGTCACGGGTTTCCTTTCTCCTCCAGGACACAGGGGTATGTGCTCCACCAGGCCGTATTTTTCAACATCTACGACAAAGTCGAGAGAAAACGTGGTCTCGACATCGCCGTCATAATCTAAAAGTTGTCGAAGACCTTTAGCTAGTCGTGGACGATACTCGGCCAAATCGTCTAGAGTGTAAGTCATTGAAGAACGCGATTGTGCCGAGATCAAGCCCGTAGGATTGGGTGCGGCCGTGAGGAGTTTGCGAAATGCGAATGGTGGAAACGCGACATCCAAGATGGTTGAATTGTAAATGGCCAATCCGAAGAGTACTCCGACCAGGAAGAATTGGTCCGAGGTCTCGAAAGCACTTGGGTTGAAATAGCAATACTGTGAGTCTTCATCGTAGATGAACATCCCTAATCGCCGTTAGTCACAGTACGAGATTCTCAGGAAATAGGTATAGCTGACCATGATCCGGATTGAAGACTTCCCGGACAAGAAGCAAGAACCACTCTTTTCTAAGACCACCGGCATCGACTCCTTCTTCCCCCTTGAAAACAATTCGCAATCCTTTCTTTATATCTTCGCCACCGCCTCCAATCACTTCGCTTACAGCTTTCAAACTATCTTCAACCAAACAATCTCGCCGTACATTGAGGACAAGATATTGTTCGATATTCCGGCGAGTCATGATGCTATCGAAGAAAGCTTCACGGGCTTTGTTCTGCATTTGACGCCGAGCATCATATTCCAGTATCTGAATCTTTGCCCATATGCTGAGGAGAAAAGGATACTGGCAGAAGGAGAACTTGCCCCTCTTGCTCTCCCAGATTTCGAAATCCGCGACTAAGTCAGAATCATCCAGTAGAGCGGTGTAAAAGTCACTGGTAGGGAGTACCTGGCCACGAGCATGGACTTGATCTCTGACTGCACTTGTTAAGATATCGTCTTGGGAGGTCAGCAGCTCAGGAATACCTCGTTTGGGGTGTCCCGCGTTGTTTGCTGCGAAAAGCAGAGACATGACACGCGCAGCAGCTTTGATCTGCCAATCATCGCTGTAGACGATCATCTTGGGCTTCTCCTTCGGCTTCTTAGACGACCTGGACCCCTGGCCTAATGCTGCGTGCAGTGATGCGGCTGATCTGCCGGTTGACATGTTGGGAATGAGGCCTTCTATGACATCGACTTTGACTTCTTGCCTCTTTTCATTCTGTCGTATTAGTCTGTAGGCGAGAAATCCGCTTACGAGATCTTTGATCTGGACGAATCGACTCTCCGGAAGTCTGGCAAACCATGTAATAAGAGCGGTATGGCAATCATTATGTGAGTTTGAAATGAGACCGAGAATTCGTTTAATGACCACAGAGTGCTTGCCGGAAGATGGTCCGGATCGTCTACTAGTATCAGCCTTAGCCACAGCCTTGCCGTTCCCAACATGGTCGTAGTGACCCGCAAATGTCCTGTGAGAGGCGTGCAGAAGAGGGTTAGCCGTCAGTATTAATAGAAATCGTAGTTCTTCGGCGTCTGAGATAGGACGCCCAGGCCTCTTTAATAATGTCTCAGATGCCTTGAGCACTGTCCTTTGTAGGTGTTCTTGGGCTTCTAGGATCCGACCCTCCAACTGCCGGGTGTCGGCCTCCGTCCTGGCTGGCGTTGACGATGATGTGGTGACCACTTCGTCATAAATACTCATCCAGTGCTGGCCCGCATTGACAACGATGTCGTACCATTCATCGAGCTCGTTCCAGTCGATTCGGGGGCTCTTGCTTGTCACCAGAGACTTATGATGATCCTCATTCCTGTGTGATAACGACCGGATCGGAAGGATTCCTTCTTGGCGACCAGTCCACCACGTTCCATTTTCTGCAAAGTCCCCCAATAGGAGTAACTTGGCATCAACGTCAGGAACCGCGGTATCCTCGTATATCGGGTCCCTCCGTGGCTCAGAAACTCTCCGATTTCGTGTGTCTGGCGCAGACCGCGCCCCAACAACCGAACTCGGTGTAATGAATGACGAGTTGACGCATTGGAAAGAAGTTAGACATGTCACAATGTATTCTTCGAGCGGGCGGAATATCCTTTTGGCTGCCGTATCTGATTCGTACGCTCTTTGGCTTAGTCTAGCGCCATCTTTCGAGGGCGAGAAGCGAAGATCTGGCCGTCTTTCCGAGTATGAAGTCGAGTATGATCTGGGTATTTGTGGCGGCTGGCGATGTGGATTTGAGAGATTGGAAGCCTCTTCAGGCCCGTCAAAGAAGGCAGATACGGAGATTTCAGGCGCATTATCTCTTTCCCATATGCCCCTGGTGGCCGAAGCGCCGTGGCCGGTCAAAATGGTGTTATTCGGGACGTGTGGTGAGGCGGAGAAATTCGCACGACTCGAACTGTTTCCCGATGCCATGTCTTTGGCGTCTGTGACTTCAGACAATGCCGTCAACAAGAATGTCCGTAAGCATTTTTGGATCAAGGAAACTGTGTGCTCGAGTGATATGGGCTTGCCTTGACAGTGTCAGCGCAACGAACAGATAACCGACGAAAGGGGCGGGCGTTCGCCAGAGATTAACTCACTATTAGCAGGAAGGGGAGGAGAAGGCGATGGTCTATCTCCTCCACGCGGAACCCTAGACTCGCCAGCCTTGTTCCCGTCCGACTTGACCTGTAGATCGTTGATGGTCAAGCATATTGTGCATTTGAACACCTTGAGCTCTTTGGGCCACCGGACAAGAGATCCGCATGTCATACAATTTCCAGTTGCGAACTCCTTGTTGCCAGTAGCCATGCCATCCCTATAGCCATTTGCCTGTGGCCGGGGTTTGTTGTTGGCTGTGAGACGGCCGTCATCAGCAGAGTCGGAATCCGACGCACCTCCACCAGAGGTGCTGTTCTGACGCTTCTTCTTCTTGCTTGAGAACAGGGACGGGAACGGGTGGCTCAGGGACCGGCCATGGCGTGCAGGTCTCTGTGGCCGCGTGGGCTGGAAGTCGGAATCTGAAGAGCTTGACTCGGCCTGGATTTGAGAAGAGTCCAGCAGCTCGAGATCGTTCAAACGTGACTGGTTCCACAGCCTATGGGGCGCAGCATTTGAGCCGGCATTTCTATGTCGTGGGGAGCGTTCATCGGGGCGTTGCTCGTGGGGATCGATGCGTGGGGTCCACGAAGCCATCTTTGCTCAAGGCGACACCAAGGATAGCGAGGAGCAGGTCATGAGAAGTCTTGTGATGGCAGCTGCCTTCAAGCAGCCGCCTTGAATACTTCAGACCAACTTACTGAAGTGACGTGGGATGTGATCCAGAAGCCAAAGAGTCGACGTGTGCTCTTGACTTGAATTCCGATCGCAGGTAATGTATGGTGCTGAAGAGACAAGCACCTCGAGAATCTGTGAGGTAGTCGAATAGAGTTTCACTGGCGCTTATTTAGGTCTCGACTAGGAAGGCACTTCAAGCAGCTGCTGACCCGAGCTGAAGGCTACCCGTGGGCCTTATGGAAGGAAGGTTCACTCCTACCGGCTCTGGAGTTCTGGGGTTGGACGTGTTTCCCCTGCACCCGACTGCAGGTGGGCTGTCCTGGGCGGATAAGATAAAGGTAATGGAGGCCAGGCAAAGCAATATGGTAAGGCAAGGTACGCCCGCGTACTGCCCGATATACGTAGTACGTAGTACCGAGTCGAGTGCCAGCCCTAAGGTAAGGCTTGAATAAGCAAGCCCAGGCGGTGTCTTACTTAGGTTGGAGTCAGTCTAGACTCTAGGCCAGTTGCTGTGCGGTTCCCGAGGAGGTATCTGGTATGCATGCACAACGAGCAGTGACCACCTGGCGGGCACAGCAGAGCAACTTTCAGGTAGGTAGGCAGGCAGGCAGGCAGGCAGGTAAGAGGTAGGTAGATGGGGAACCGCAGCCAGTATCCGCCGCATATGTGAAGAGTGAAGAGCAGAGAAGGAGGGATGGCCACCTGGTTCCCTGGAGACGGACGGTGATCTCTGTTGTGCCTGTGCCTGGTATGCGATCGATGGCTAGCTAATATTTGTTAGGACATGCATGCATGCATGCCTTTGGGTACGAGGCGTCGTAAGG